TTATGGAAACTCACTCAATTTCTCCCCCTTAGCTGAAAAAGTGATCACTCAAAATAACTATCCTAGGAAATCTAGCATCACCAATTCAATTCCTTAGTTTCTAATTACAAGCCCCTTAAGTAACCTCACTAGCTTAGCTTAGAGATTAACTAAGTGTTTAATCAAATCTCCTCTCCTAAGGCCATGGTCAAGAGCTATACCCAAGCACAAAACCATGCAACTTGAGAAATTCATCAAGCATTTACCAAACAATTACATGCAAAGTCAATGTAAGACATTTACTAATAGAAATCACATATTATAATGCAATATCATGAGGTGGCTGAAATTACCATTAGCAATTCAAGCCAACAAACTTGTTCCAATACAAACATTTACAATCCAACCATTAAACTAATGTCAAATTGAACTAGAATCAACCATAGTCATAGTCTACTAATGAAATTGAAACAAAATAAAGAATAAGTTGAGCTTAGCCAAATATAGTCTTTAATGCTCCACTTCCATCAACTCCTTCCTAGGATTTCATGGAGAATTTAGCTAGAAAACATCAAAAACTATCTTGCTCCTTCAAGAACTCAACATAGCCATGTGGTGTTCCATGGCTTTTAAGGATTTAAAGCTTCAAAACGCTATGAAAATGATAGGGTTAGGTTTGGCCTTGAGAGAGGAATGGAATGGTGGTAATTTTATAGAGGTTTGATGTCTGGACGTGGAGATGGAGTGGCTGGATAGCTAGAGTTTTAGATAGAAAGAGGAGAAAAATAAAGAATAAGATAAACTAGAGAGAGAAAATGAAAGAGATGAATGGGTGTGTGGTGGAATGAATGTTTAAATCTAAAAATCCTTTATGAAAGAGCTGAGTGGCATGTTTTTGCATCAGATTTGGCCTGAAGAATTAATTTAAAAAGAAATTAGAATCAAGGAGAGCTTCACACTATATGCACATGCCCTTAGGTGGTACTTTCTCATTGGTTGAGTGATAATTCCTATGCTAATATGAATAATCTCATGCTTTGCATTTAGGAAATATGATCTACCCCATCCATTAGCCATTTTGCATGCCACCTCAGAGTCACAAATTGATACAAGTCCAAGTGCACATATGTCGCTTATATCGTAAAATAAACAAAATTAATCAAATAAATGCATGTGACATAATAAATCATATTTTGGGTCATGATATTAATTATTTAGATGTGAGAGAAATAATAAAATTCAATCCAAGGGCTGCTCCACATAAAACATTTATGCACGCACACATGGACAAAACCATAATTAGGTCAACAAAGTCAACAACCCTAATTTTGTGATTCTTAATTAATATCTCTCAAACCATATTGAATTTTCAAAATATAATTTTACATTCATTCTCCTAGAAAACAAACACATTTGGACTAATCTATTTATACATTTTCGAACCAAAATAGCCCTGGTACACAACTTTGCCCTTTAGGCGATTTTCTTACTTTTAAGACTATGAATACACCGAAATGAGGAATCTGACATATAAAATGGGTCCCAAATGAATAGATAAATTGTGTAAATAATGTGTTTTATCAACAGGCTAACTTGAACAAGCTCAAAAAATTTAAGGCTGACCTTAACAAAATAAGGCTTTTTTCAATGTCCCAAAAATTCAATCCAAGCTTGATCAAATTTAGGTTTGAAGGCCCAAATAGCTGAATAAAATAATTTAGGTACATTTTAAAAAATATATAAAATACAATAAATATTAATCATTTCTTTGAATTTTAGGTCATTTTATAGTAAGATACCATATAATTGAGTACATTATTATAGATATTTTCTTTAAAAAAAATAAAATGTTTACATTTTAATATTTTAATTATTTTTAATCTCTAAAAGATCCCTAATCACACTTAGCTTATTTAACCCACTATTTAATAATTTTCCCCTTAGTTAGGTTAAGTAACTGTTGATTAATTTGTAGGATGTTACAACAGCAAATTGATGGAAGGGCTTTTGTGCTCTTAAAAAAATAGTTCAAGAGGAAAATTTTCCCACTTATTAGTACATACAGGGTACCTAACATTTCTTAAAAAAAATTTAGGAGATAAAAATGAATCTTAACCCTTAAAGGAACGAGAAAAGGGTACATGATGTTGAGAAATTTTGCAAGGGTTCCTCATAACTAAGGTTAATCATAAGCTAGACCTAAGATTTGACTTACAAAGTCATGCTAGGTGAAACTCTATATAGTTGAAAGTAAATTCAACTGCATGTATAGGAGTTTAAGTGTTTGGCATGATTGTTAGATTCTTTCTAATGCTTTCAATTTTTGCCTTTAATGGAGAAGAGCAACTTGTCACAAAGCCATTGCTCTCTCTCCTAAAAACTAATTCAGTAGGGTGTGCAGACACTCGCTTTTATCCCCAGGACCTTCCCAAGTCCTTTTGATGTGGGACACAACAATTCTCTTGATCAATCCGTGACTTCCCGTCATGGGTGGCACACCAGAAGGGCCTATCATAATTGGGCAAACCCATGTCCGACTCTAATACCATTTTGTTCTGGAGCAATTACTCTCTCCTCAGAAAGCTAGTTTAGTGGAGCATATAGCGCACCTGCTTATATGCCTAAGATCATCTCCAAATCCTTTCGATGTAGGATGTAACAAATTGCTCTGTATTTGAATTAAATTACATCCCGTTGCCAAGTTGGGGGAATAACCGCTCCAGCAATTATATACTCAAGTTGATCAAAATGTACAAGCACAACAATTCAGCCATTATTTACTCAAGTTGATTAAAATATGTCAATATCTAAATGTTGTTGAATTATATAAATTTAAATTTATAAATTTGTACTGTACCGGTATTCATGGTTTTAAAGGAGAATCAAGGCTCGAATTCTCACCAAAAAACATGACTATATATAGCATTGAACCGTCTCACAAAATTACCTTGATCAATAAGAAGATACCTATGCATAAAAAGAATTTAATTATTTTAGAAAGATACTTATTTGACTCATGATGCAAGGATAAAGAACAAAGAAGGGATTTCGTATGTGTCTGACTTTAAATGTCCTATATTCTTATATTTTTGTTTGCAACTTTCAAGAACTTTCCAACTTAATTTTTTTTCTTAACTAGAAACCTTCATCATGCATTGTATACCAGAACCATCCTTCATAGACTAAAAAGTTTGAAAAGTGAGTTGGCAATACTCATCACCTATAATTTAATTTGCTATGCATATACTTTATGTTAAATACTAATATCTTCTGCTTTTAAGGAACATGCTTAAATAATTATGTGTGAACAACCTTAAGTTCTGCAACGGATGGATTTGCTTTCTTTTCTTGTCCGAATTGGACAAGCACAAAATATTAAATGATATCAAGGCGTTGATTACAGAACGCTCACAAGTTAATTCTGTAGCTAAATTTTATTTGGGATGACCTTGGAAAAAAAAATTATGTACTAATGTATAAGTATTTAATTTCTTTTTAAAGAGTTTCACAACTTGAGTAAGTGGTGGGGAATGGTTGGCAAAAAAGGGTAAGTTTTGGGGAATTGTATAGTTTTAGGAAAAATTCTTAGGTAGACCGAGTACATCATGTCATTTGTGATCTGTCCAAAAAAAATGCTTCAAATGATCTAAATAAAATCTTGCATGACATTATTTTAATTTATTTTATTCTTATAATAGAATGTATAATTAATTTATTGCCTTTTTTTCTCTATTATCATTGATATCAGAATCAATTTATATTTAATATTATCTAAATGTCATATTTTTATTGGATAGATCACCAATAATGTGGCACACCTGGTCTATTTGAGAATTTCTCTAGTTTTTGTGTATTTAAAAAATTCTCAATTTAATGAATAAAGATGGATAGCTGGCCAAAAAAAATGAAAGAAAAAAAGAATAGAGATAGTTAATATTTTAAGTATTATCTACATTATGTTGTCTTATCATAAGGAAATTTTTTTCTTTTTTGAGACCTGATAAAGAAGGAGAAAGATAGAAGTTTAGATTCATTGTATAAGTTGGATTCATGGTCATTTAAATCATCTATATTCAATGTCAACATTTAAATTTCAATATTTTTTATTTTAAAAGAAACATAATAAAAAGAAATATAGTTATTAGCAAATTAAATTTTTTGAATAAGTAGAAAATTAAAATCAACTAATGCATTTAGACAATCACAAGTTATTTAAAAATAAAAGTAATGAAACAATAACAACTCCTACAGTTCAAAGACGTATGAAATTTATTTTAAGACTCAAAATAAACATTAAAATCAATGTTTTTAGAATCGGACCGAACATTGAACTGGAAAAGTCAGCAGTTTATAATTCGCATGGTTCAACCGGTTGGACCAATGGTATATATGAATATAATAATATAATAATTAAATTAAAAAAATTATATATGAATATAATAATTTAAATATAAGAAATACATATGTAATTGCTATTTAACTTAAAAAATCAAATATTTTAAGTTTATCATGACTTAACAAGCCACATATACAATATAATATCAAATGATTAAAAAAATTAGTTATTTTTTAAAAAAAATTTGATAAAAATAAAATTTTTTTTTTTTGAACAGTCCGGTTTTTGAAAACCAGATTTGGTTCCTAGCTTGATTCCGGTTCCCGATCCAACCGCCAGCTTAACCCGGCTCAACTCCTAAAACGGTTTTTTCCTATAAACCAGACCGGTTGACAGTTCGACCGTCCAGTCCGGTCTGGTTCTCAAAACAATGATTGAAATTTAAAAATTAAATTACTCTCAATTTTCTCTCCATCACATCCGTTACAGCCAATAGTGGCATGGAAAGACAACCAAAACAAGGATAAGCCTAAAACATCTCCTTTCTTTTCGCATAACAAACTACTTTCCTCTCCTTTTTTCTTCGTTGAGGCCTTCAAAATTTAAAGCAAAAACAAAGTTCTCTGGTGATGAATTTATTTTTGAAATCGTCATCATGTTGTCAGTATCACCACCTACCAATTGTATTCCCCTGAAATGGCTTCATCTTCTTCATCATCTTCTCTCAGATTCTTCAGATATGCTTCAATGATAAAAAATGGCCTTCATGAATCAGTATTCGATTATTAGGGTTTGAATCATCAATCAGAGAAAAACAATAATGGCTTCGTCCCAAGTTGAATTTGCTTCATCATCAACCTCGCCATTTAGTTGCATCAATACGAGGAATCGCCACCACCATCATCGAGCCCCACAAGCCAAACATTTTTTCAACCATTTCGCCAAAGACCAACTTAACAACGACAATAATTCCCATATATCTTGGGACACAAAGAACAACCTTGGAACCCTACGTTTTGCATCCAACAAAAGAGATCAAGATGAGTCGTCGTTGTCGTCCTCAAGCCCTAACCGAGAAGAACCATCACCGTCTTCGTTTTCGTCATCGTCCTCGCCGTCATCATTGTTGTCACCGCCTTTAAGAAAACAAAAACCATCTCCTATTCCTGTTCCTTCAGATTTCTCACCCTGTGATATCTCAAACCTTGGAGCTTCATCACTGGTTCAAATATGGGAAAAGAGACTAACCCAATCATCATCAAACACGACGACGTCCAAGTCATCGTCAACTCCAAAATCAAGCCCTAACGCATCATCTTCACCGCAAAGTTCATCAGATGATTCATCACCACAAGGGCAGATTCACAATGAAGGAGATCATTATCAGAGCGAGAGATCAGTACATAGGGTGGCAGATATTATTAAAAGGCTAACTTTGACGACGACGACGACAAGCAGTGAAGAGATTAACGTGGATAATAATAATAATCAATCTCATCAAGATCAGCAAAATTATGGCATGGGATCTCCAGAACAATTACTAATAGAGAATAATAGGAGCTTTGTGATAAATTCTCCGAGAATTAGAGGAAGACAAGCCTTCAATGATTAGCTTATGCAGATGGAGCGTGATCGTCATCGCGAGCTCAATAATCTTGCAGATCGTGCAGCTGTTTCCAAGTTTTCGCATAGAGGTCGGATTCAGGTAAGAACGTTGTTATATTGTGTCCTTTATTTTCATTTTAACAAAGAAAAAGTTATAACTAGGTGAATATTTTAATAAAAAAAAAAGTTATAACTAGGTGGGTTGAATATTTTAATTAGCAATTGTATATGCGAGAAGACACCCTTTGAGCAGGCACCCTTTGACATATGCGTCTGGTTTCCGTACTCATCAGGATAAGACCTTGATTGTTTAAATTAAATCTACATGATCAATATTTAAAGATTTTTATTTTTATTTTTATTTTATATTTATCCAAATAAAAAATTATAATAATTATAAATTTTTTTATAAATATGTTCATTATCCATTTGGACGGTATAAAATTAATAAATAAATTTAAAGTTTTAAAAACATTTAATATTAAATTTTGACTATTTAAATTAAACTTGAATCATCCAGATTGGTGATAAATAATGATCAAGCATATTTATTCAAAAATTATAATTTTTAGACATTTTTATTTTAACAAATATTAAATAAAAATAAAATTGAAAACCTTTGAATCTTGATCATCTATATTAAATTTGAATGGTACATATATTATCAAAGGTAATGAGCATCATAGTGTTCATCTCTCTAATAAGCACCCAAACTAGACGCTTGAAATATAGTGAGGAATGATTATAATTATGGGAAAAAAATTAATCTCCTTTATCCTTCTCGTTAATTTTTTGTTTGTCTGTTTCAAACTATCCTTGAGTTCGTAAATAGCCATTGCATCACGTTGTGACTCTCAATTAATTAGTTAGGGCATTTTAGGCAAAACAGTGCAAGATTTCTTCCAATGTATGATCTTGTCATAACTGGGTTTGTGTGTTATTATGCACGCAGTCATTACTTCGACTAAGACTAATGCAGCATGGCATGGTAGCTAAAGATGAACGTCGCTTGCCATCAACAACATCACAAGAGATCAAGCAATTACCTCAAGGATCTGTTATTATGCGCTTAAGGTTCTTAGCTTCTCATCTAATTAATTTCATGTTTGATCTTTCTCACTTATCCTTCTTTTTGTTTCTTTCTTTTTTTGTCCTTTTATCATTATCATATATCTTCATTTTTAATTTCTTTTCTTTTTTTTTAAATAATCCAACCTTACTCTTTAACATTCTCTTATTATGGAACGATGCAATTTTTAGTCTCTCAAGTTTGTCCCAATTGTCAATTGGGTCCTTGATCATGTTTAATTTCTATCATTGTAGTCCTTTAAATTTTCTTCGATAACTGATTTCGTCCTTATTGTTTTAAAAATGGTTGCATCATTAAAATTTGCAAACTTTGACAATAGATTATTGATAGCAACTATGAAAATTAATGAAAAGAAATATAATTATCTAGATAAAAAAATAGACTTTAAAATTTTAAAAAACAAGAAAATAAAACACATTATAAGGGATTATATATCAATAAAAATTAAACTCATTTGAGGGTTATTTTTTTCATTTAGCTATACATACATGCCAAATCATCAAATATACATTACATATTAGATTATTTTGAGCTCAATTTATGTTTTAAAACATAGAGAACTTACATAATAATTGAAAAAACATGAGGGATCAAATTGATAAAAATTAAACTTAAGGGACTAAATTAATAATTGACACAAATTTGAGAGACTAAAAGTTTCATTATTTTTTTTAATTCTATTGCTCAGTATCTTAGAAAACTTGAGGGTGTTGTTATTACCATTGGCTGCATCAAGAGAAGCTGATTCAACTCCCTTGATTAGTTAAATAAAGTGTCCTTGGGTCGCTCTTTACATTTTTCATACATAGTTTGTTGTTAAATTTATCAATTTGTTTAATTAAATGCTTTTTTTTATCATTATTAACTTATTCTTACATTTGATATATAATTAGTTGACAATTAACAAGCGTATGTCACTAGGGTTGAAACTTTCTATATAATGCAATTTTTCTCTCATCCCATTACTCCCTTAAAACTTGACATCAAACTTAATGGTCTATCCACTTAAACGCTAATACCGTTAACTTACACTCAAAGTTGGCATGTAAGTTTGTACATTATTAAATTTGACTTCAAATTTTGGGCAGGGGTGTGACCAATCAAAACTTATATAATATAATTAGAGGGATCAAAATTGTATTTAATAATTTATTGTATAGTTTCATGAAATAAGAATAGATAAATACCTACTTGAATTATCCTGTATTCATAGATTCATAACATGGAAAAAATATTACTATAAATGTGTAGAGTTCTTATCTCACCACTATATTTATAATTGGAAAAATATAGCAATAGGTCCCTATACTACTTTCGTTACAATTTGGTTTAGTCTATATAGTTTTATTCCGTGATTCCCAGTCCCTTTAATTTGATCCATTTGCAAAATCCCTATAAAAATGCATATCACCATTAGCTAGCACCTCTAGAGTTAATTTTGCTAATGTATACTGTTAACCCCATTATTAATGTGTATTGATGTTGCATTCTCCCACATTCTGTTTAATTCAAATATACAATGAAGCTTTTTTTTTTTTTCTTTTACCCTATTACCTGTCATACCTGTCAATTTATTTGTATGTCAGCATATTTTTACAATATGAACAAAGTGGTTAACATGAGTGACTGCAAAATTAACTCTGTCATTGCTAATTCATGATTGTTATGATCATTTTTAAAATTATAAGAACTAACGTTGCAGATAGATTAAACTAAAAGGTTTGAAAACAATAAAATAAAACTGTAGGAACTAAAAACAAAGCACAATCTAAATACAAGAATCAACTATTCTATTTTTCCTTTATAATTTCTTTGAATGCGTGATATACTTGCATACAAGTACATATATATTCACAACCATTGTGAATATCTATTAGATTCAAATTGATTCGGTTGAAATTTGATAAATTCTCAATTAAATGCAGGGAAAGGTTTAGCACAAGAGTAACAAATGGAAGTGCAGTAGAAGCAGAAGTAGCTGAAACAACAACTCCTTGTAGAGAAAAAGAAAACATAGTCACACCACCACCATTATATATTAATCCTCCAAACCCTACCCAAAACTCTCTGTCCCATGCAGATCAAAACAAAGAAGAAGAAGAAGAAAAAGAAGCTAGTCCATGTTCAGATGTCTCGGTACCGAGTTCTGAGGCTCAAAACGCGGAAACTTCTTCTCCCATGGTTGATCTGAATGCAGAATCCGAGGTATTAGAGAATGTTGAAGTAAGGGAGGAGAAGCATGATGATGTTGCTGATCAATTAATCAGTTCTGGTGAGGTGGAAGAGGAAGAGGAAGAAGAAGAAGAAGGAAGTGAGGATGAGTATGGTGAGAGAATCTATGATAAGATAGAAGAGATAGAGACCAGCGAAGCTAATTTTGATTGGATTAGTCAGATTTCTAAACCTAAGAGCTATTGGGAAGATCTTAGGCAGGCTTGGTATAAGGAGATGCTTGATCATGAATCACAAAATTATGACATCTGCCAACTGCTTCAAAGGTATATATATATTGAGGTTTGGTTTCAGTCAAATTGCATTTTGTTGAGCTATCTAGATCAAATGGAATTTTTTAATTTTGACTTTCTATTTAAAAAAATTATAATAAATTTTGGGAAGCCATAGTTTTTGTTCCTTCAAGTTTTGATCAACCTAGATTAAAGTACAACTTACATTGGTTTTTTTATTAAGGAATCAATTATGGTCAACTTTGGTTAATGTTGACCATATCAATGACAAGTCATTTTTGCCACATCAGTAACATGTCGTCTTTCGGAATCTTAACCAAACTTAATCATAATTTTGAAGACTATTTCCTTAATTAATAAAAGAAACTATAGGGACCTAGCAAAATTCTAAGGAACAAAAACTATACCTTTTTAAAAAAAGAAAATTAAATTAGTCTTTATATAGTTACTTCTACTTATGAGATTTATGACAAACAGATTCTCTTTATGTGGTATGGCTAATTGTATGAAATTATTCTTGTGATCAGCGCAAATGATTTAGACTTTCAGTCTTGTGTCTCTATTATTTCTTAGTGAATTCCAATGAGTGTTTGCCCTAGCTAATTCCATGCCTGCTAATTAGAAAGACAATTTTGTCGCTCCATGTATTAATCCATTATATTGTTTTGCAGAAAAACGGTGTCAAATGTTTTAGGTAGTGACTTCCGGGAAAGAATGGACAGGTTAATGGAGTCTCACCTGCAAGGAACACAAACAAATTTTTTGGCTAGTCGAGATGATGATGATGAAGTCAACCACCATGGGAAAATGGAGAAATTGATAGCGTTTTTACAGCAACGACTGAATCCTGCAAAAAGTGATCAAGAGAAGGAGATCAAAGAAGAAGAGAAACATGAGGAAGAGGAAGAAGAGGAGATTCTGATAAGTGATTCCTATAATGGAGAGAGTGACTCTATGAACCAGTCATCACCATCACAATGCAGAGACAATTTTAACGAAGATGGTGATGATTCTGAGTTTAGATCAGTATCTGCATCATTAAGACAACCTTCTCAATCTCCCTCTTTCTTTCAGTATGCTCGCCAAAACTCTTCACCCAGGAATCCTCCTTCAATTGTAAGTTTCGTTAATTGTATTATTATTTGCAGGAATTTAGAGTCCGAAAACATACTGATATACCTCCGGTGACAACAGATTTCTTTTTAACCACACATGGGAAACCAGGTCACAGTTACGAATCTCATATGAAGTTTCATAGTAGATACACCAAATTACAAAGAAAGACGAGGAAGCAAAGGGGGAGTTTTCCAATCGTGTATCTACTGTGAAATTCTATCCAAACCTAGTTCCTCACGTGTGGTTAAAGAAAAGTCTATCCTCACTGGATCATTATCCAAAGATATTTGAATATGAGGTTTTTAAGCTACTTGTCCAAATTGTAAACATCTCAGAGTAACACTGTTAAGACCATTTTATCAAAAGTTCTAAAATATTTTTAAATTTGTTAACTAAAATTTACAATTAAAAAATCAATAAACCCTCATTAAGTTAATTTGCCTCCCTTCCCAATTTATACTTAATTTTTAAAGTTCTTTTCACTTGAGTATAAAGTTTTGGGAATTTTTTATTGTATGAAGATTTATTTATTTTATAATTAGACATCAATTTTAATTTGGAGATATAATTTCATGTAGTTTTTTTTCCCCTCAATGCCAGTTGTGTTGTTTATGTTCATTCTTCATTTTCATGACACACAATGCTTCTGTCACTTATAGGAAATGGAGCTCATCTATGATTTGAGAGGGCATATGAAGCAGCTCTGTCAAGAGATGTCTGAGTTAAGGAAATCAATTAGGAGCTGCATGGATATGCAAATGAGCTTACAAAAATCATTGGATCGAGAGAATCATACAGGTTTGATTGTTGTGACGTTATTGTTGTTTAAATGAAATAATAATTAATAATTTTTAGCACAATATATTTTTTTTAATATTATCATGAAGAAATTGATTTTAGCAACGCCTGACCAATATATATATATATATATATATGTATGTATGTATGTATATATATATATAGCTTAGACCACACATACATCCTTCTCCCTGTTTGGATTGAATAAGTTCATCCGAATTTGGGACCAGCTTAGTTTAATGGCGATCTTGCTTAGCTGCAAACGTGTATTACTATATATTATACAATATAAATATGTAAAATTATTGAAATGGTTAGATTCAAACCACATATTTAAAGCTGGTTAAAAAACATCATATTAAAAGGCTTGTTTCCAAACAAAAGTATTTAGTTGTATGTGAGTTTATTGATTAATTTACAATATATATGCAGGCAAATAGATTGATTTTAAAAATATTTTATAAATCTGGTAAGGTCTAGAATGATCAAAGGTGTAAGCAGCTTTTTTTTTTTTTTGGGTGCTGTTTTGCATATATTGATTAATTGATTTAATGATAATTTCTCTTTTCATTTTAAAAAATATTTTATTCGAATATATATATATATATATATATTATTCTTTCCGTTTATCCGCTGAATTGGGTACATGACCAAAGGAAAAAGAGAAAAACAACACATGAAATTATAAAATTATTTAAAAAAAATGTGAGCAATTTAGCAACTATATACGTATGTTCATGTTTGTAACTTACTTTTCTGTCTACCTCTTTATAAAAAGAAATGCCATAATTTATATAAAATAATTCGCAGCTAAAGGAAAGAAGTCCCATGAAAGAGTATTGAAGAAAGGACACTGCTGTATTTGCTCAAAGTTGAAAGCTGATTCACTTTTATATAGGTATTTTCCCTGATCTATTTTGCAAACCCTTTCTTTTTTAAGTTTCTCATATTATTTTTATTAGGGAAATTTTTAATCACATTGTCATCTACATATAAGATGCAATTTATGAAATGTCACACTACTAAAAAATAATTAATAGTTTTATTACAGATTCTATGATGAAACAATTTTTTTTGGAGGGGGGACCCTTACATGTATGAGGAATTACATTGAAAAATATTAATTAGCTCTATAAAAAATTAAATTAAAAAAATCTTATTTGACAAGGACCTAAATAAAAATTTAGTGGTTGCCAAAAATATGCTGTGGCAGGTTAAAATAAAAAACTCCCATCAACGTTAATCTTAAAACAATGTAGAAATGCTCCATGTATATATATATATATATATATATATATATTCATATAAAAAGAATGACAAATAAATCCTTCTGAAATAGAAAAATGATAATTTGATCCCCTGAAGTGTGATAATGCATTCTAAATTTCAAAGGACTTAATTGTTATTGAAGTTTTTGATCACATGACAAAAATATCCCATAATTTAAAAAAAGTGAAAAAATGGTTAGAGAAAATTGTAAATGTCTAGACCTCTTTAATCATTTACTTAACCAAACTTGTTAATTCTAGAACCATAAAGATGTGAATGAAAGAGAATGGTGAGAGAAAGCTACAAATGCTTAAACCACTTAAGTCATTTATTGAACCAGAATTATGAATTTTAAAACCAAAGTTGTAAATGAAAAAAAATGTTTGTTGCACTTTGTTAATTGTAGAAAAATGATAAGAGAAAGTTGTGAATATCTAAATCATTTTAGATATTTATTGAACTAAAGTTGTGAATTTTAGAACTAAAGTTGCTGCACTTTTTAAAATTAAGAGGCATTTTTATCATTTCATCACAAGAAACTTTAAAGAAATTATTATATTTTGCACGACCAACTTGTCATTTAAGTATTGTAAAATAAAACTAAATGACGAATGCATGTCAACCAAGGAATCTACAAAAGGGCTGATCCCATGACCAATTACAATTTTAAAAAACAAGCTTGTCGAAATAATTAATGCAAACAAACGAAGCGCGCAACCCAAAAACAAGTTATACCTAAGTACCGATTATTCACAAGTACTGATTATTTATTTCTTACTATATAAGAAACTTGCTATTAATTATGGTTTTTCAATATTACTTTTAATTTTTTTATTTTTGGTGAAAACTGAATTCCATTCATAAACAGAAAATACAGAAATAGCAACAAACAGGTTACAAGGATAAACCAAAATCAATCACCATCAGCCTCCTTCTAAAGGGAAAGGTGGTGGATGATATTACTTTTATCCGAACTCATAATTATTACTCTCTCTCACACACACACACACACACACACACACACACACACACACACACACACACACACACACACACACACACACACACACACACACACACACACACACACACACACAGATTTTTTCATTTAAAACTTTATTATATTTTTGAGGTAAAATTAATGATTTAATCCTTGTAGTTTTGACTCCCTTATAATTCAATCCCTGAACTTTAACTCATTGTAATCCAATCCTTATAATGTTAACTTGGTTGTAACTCAATCCTTGAACTTTACCTTTTGGAAGTTAGTCCATATAGTTTCAATCACTTAATAATAACTTTTAACATAATTTTAATCTTTCTAGTTTTATTACTAATATTAAAAATACTATACATGTTAAAAGTTCAAAATATTATAAAAATTAAAAGTTTAAAATATTTTTAATTTTTAATTTTAGTTTTTAAAATATAGGGACCAATATTTAAGTTGTTGAAACTATAGAGACTGAATTGCAAAAGGCAAAGTTGAAGGACTAAATTATAACCGAGTTAAAACTATAAGGACTAAATTACAATGAGTTAAAATTTAAGAACTGAATTACAATAACTAAGTCAAAATTATAAGGACCAAATGATTAATTTTTTTCTATTTTTTATACAAAGTTAATGACTTAACAAATTCTCCTTATTTCTAGTGAGGTAATTAAAAATGCCTTATATAATAGATACGGGTGGAAGTATTGCAGTCTATCCTAATAACTTGTATCTATATGTATTTTGAGATCTTGAATACAAATCTTATGTGATATTACATTGAAATTTGTTTACAGGTGTGGCCATATGTGCACGTGCCTAAAATGTGCCAATGAGTTACAATGGAAAAATGGGAAGTGTCCAATCTGTGAGGCTCCAATAGTAGATATTGTTCGAGTATTTGTTGATGCATAGGTATTCTTGGTGGTCATATACACATATACACAGTGTCTTGTTATGTATATAGATATCAGGAGATTATAATAAATCAATTAGTTAATTAGTGTTTCAACGTAGGAGTGAAATATTAATATAGTATATGGAGATCGGGCTTTTTGTATATATACATATATAATTCATTTTTTTCTTCAAAATTAACTTCATCTGAAGTGAAGTGAAAAAGAAATTAAATAGGTGCAAGATTTACATTTAATATTGTGAAGCTTACAACAGTACGTAGCTGTATATATTTTTCTCATTCTCTTTTTTTTTTCTTTCTTTTTTCCCTTTCATTTCAGTACTTATTTATTAGATTCTTCATTTTTATATTATCAAAAAAAAATGCCTGCATTTTACCCAGTCAAGTTTACTAGTATTACCTGCAAAAAGATAGCAATTTGAGGTGAATCAATTAACCTATCCTTTTCACATATATGCTTTATTTGTGCAAATATGTATATGTATAGTTTTTTCATTTTTTTTTCCTTTAGGAAAATATAATGGGAAAGATGTTCATATAATAAATATTATTTATTTAATAATCTCTCCTTGTCTCAAAGTCCTAAAGCTTATTAATTAGGTTATGGGAAGGGAACAAACTAGCATAGGAGGGGGGAAAGGTGTAAGCTTACATATTGGAATGGAGATAACATGGAGGAATGTGTGACGATTTATTTTATTGAGTATTTTTCTAAGAATATACTCATAAATCAAGTAGATACTTTATTCTAATCATAATTTAATGAAAAAATTTGTTTTTTATTTTTTGTTTGCATGCATTTCACTTTTTGGAATGCCTCATAATTATAACCTTGCCGGTGCATACATTTGTGAACACAGTATAGGAAAGCAGTGTTACCTGATATAACTAGAAGCAATTATCATAATTCAGATGAAATAAAAAAATAAAAATTAAAACTAGGCTAATCCTGCATTCCCTCTCCTGGGTCTCTTAGGCATTAGGATTTTCATGCCATAAAATTCTTATGCATTGTTTTTTGGTACAAAGAAAAGTGGTTTTTAGGGGAAAAGAAAAACAGAGAGACAGAAGCACCTATTTCTTCACCCCCCCCCTCTATATATATTTTTTCTTTTTAAAAAAATGTTAATGAGAATTTTACACCCTAAACCTTTAAAATGTGTGAAAATTTTATCCAACTTTTAAATTTCAAGTGTCTGAAATCTCATTATTAAGTTGGAAAAAATGATCATTATTTTTAAAGGTTAATATAAGTGTCATATTAGTGTGTAACTAAGCCCCATAATTATAAAGGTAATGACCGTTTTTTTTAACTTAATGAAAAGATTTTACGCACTCAAAATTTAAAAGTTGAGAAATTTTTATATTGAGCCCCACAGTCACGGTAGACTTCATACGGATAAACTAGCTACCACACATCATCAAATCTCATTGAAGTGCTGGATGACTAATAAGGAATCTTCTTACTGTATGAGTTAAATTTCAGTGCATATTTGGTATATGGAAAATTGTTCTAAAAAAAATGAGATATAAATATATCTAAAAAAATGAGATTGGTGTTCTCCCCTGTTCATTTCTAGAAAACGTTTTTCTAGTTACCAAACAGTGCATGAATTTCAAAACTTGGATCCATGTTTCTTAACATATACAAAAACAAAATCATCCTCTTTTCCAACATATACATAAACAAAATTAAATCTCAGACATTACAATAAATGGCAATCAATTTCTTGTTTCTTCCTTTCCCTCAAACAGTGCAACATAGTAAAACAATTATATATAGGAGGGTTTATTAACAAGGAAAGTCAAAAGAAGTAGGAAAAAAATTGACGACATTTAACGAGCTTGTTGATGTAATAGAGAAATGGATTTTGCCCCTTCAACATATACGGCGCCGCTTGAACAATGAAAAAAGATGAAAAAGTTACTATATATCATCTATGCATCCACTGTTTTATTGATTGTTAGCAGCACAAAGATTTTCCATAGATTTAATCTGACATCTCTCACGCTGCCACATGTCGCCATTATATTCCACGCATAGAATCCAAATCCATGAGTCTCACTTAGCCAAATATCAAGCTTGCATCTATGGCCAAGCAGAAACATTATACCATAAATATTTCCTTCCTTCCCCCTTCCCACGCCATGCATGAACTTGAGAAAGCTTTAGGACAATCCATTGATGGATCGAGAGTGGCACACATGAGGGGTAAAATTAGAAGATACTTTTAAATGAGAAAAATACAACTATTGATTCTATATTTTTAGTGTGTTTTTATACTAGTCCTTATACTTTTTTTTTTTTGTTGCTCAAGTCTCTTAAATTTCATCAATATGTAACATTAGTCCTTGTCATCAATGATGAAGGATGTATGTATATGTATAATTTTACTGCTGAATTGGTAAAATTATGATGAGTTAGATATTATATGGACAAAATAATCATTAATCTTTATGCATATCTGCCCTAACTGCCGTGTAAGCCCTTTGAAGTTGCATTCATCATGCATTTAAGAATTCTAATTTAATGTGCTACTTGTTCTTTTTGCATGCTGCATGTATTTTTGTACAACTCAGTATAATTTTAAAAGTTCAACATAAGATGTAACAATTTGTATGCACACGTTAGCTACTATTAAATCCTTATGATCATATTTTAAGAATATAAGAATTAACATTGCAAGACATATGAAACCAAAAGGACTTGGAGCAATGAAAACAAGTATAGAAACCAATAGTTTTACTTTCCTTTTTAAATATGGGAGAATGACAATTAAGTCTTAAGGGGACCAATTAATTCAAGTGAAGTTCCAATCAATTTCATTTAGCTAAAAAAGTCCCTTGGATTTTTAGTGGTAAAATATTAACGTTTACTAGTTTAAGGAATCTGCAAGTTTGGCTTCCAAATTTGTAACTTTGTTGTGATATATTTGCAATTTATTTTTCAAATTTTAATAAAAAAATAAATATTCAAATTTAATGTTAAAAATATTAAGTCTAACAATTTTAAGGATTTGAAAGTTTAGCTCTTAAATTTGTAACTTTATTGTAATACATTTGCAAAAACACAAATGTTTATATTTAATGTTGAAAAATATTAAGTCTAACAATTACAAGAATTTGGAAGTTTAGCTTTCCATTTTGCAACTTTGGTTTAATGCATTTGCAATTTGTTTTTCAAATTTTATTAGAAAACACAAATGTTTATATTTAATGTTGACAAAATAGAAGGCTTAATAAATATTGTTTATTATTCAATCTTGTTAAAATTTAAAAAACAAGTTATAAATTTATGACACTGAAGTTGCAAAATTGATAGTTGAACTTGTAAATCTTTGAAACTATTAAACTTGATATTTTACCACGAAAGGATGAAGGGACTTTGTTGGCACTTTAAAATTAGTTGAGACTTAATTTAAATTAATTGAGCTCTTTAAATATTAGAGGCAATTATGTTAAGGAAAATCTCATCTAGGGCCCCATGTGAGAAAAAATTGTACTCAGGGCCAATGCATTATAAAATTATTCTACAGGCCTAATGGCTCTCTTTGCAAATGTGTTTTAGAGTGAAAAGATGCAATTGTCCTTAGTGAGAATGAAAGAACTTTAGGTTCAATACCAATGGATAATTACTTGTTAATATGTGGATCTAAGATTGTGAATTTTTAAATCTGTAGTTATAAAAATCTAAACTTATTGTCACAATGAACCTTAGTTCTAAATATTTATAGTCATAAATTTTGAACTTTAACTTGTGCATAGATAAACTTGTACTTGTAAATATTTGAACTTTAAGTTGTAAATTTATTAAGTTGGCCAAAATGAACATGTCAACTTTAAACAAGAATTTTACTATCAATGAGCAATTACTTATTAATACATGAATCCAAATTGAATTTTTGAACATGTAGTTGTAAAAATCAAAACCTGTTATCACAATGAACCTTAGTTCTGAATATTTATAATCATAAATTTTGGAATGTAACTTGTGAATAAATAAACTTGTACTTGTAAATATTCAAACTTTAAGTTATAAATTTATTAAGTTGGCCAAAATGAACATGTGAATCCTAAACAAGAATTTTACTACCAATGAACAATTATTTGTTAATATATGAATCTAAAGTTGTGAATTTGTGAACATGTAGTTGTAAAAATTTGAACTTTTATTTGCTGCTTCTTTTAACTAAAGGCAATTGTGTTTTCTCTCTCTAAAACATATTTTGCAAAAAAGACTCTCAGGTCTACAAAATAATTTCAGAATGCATTAGATTGTAAGTGTAATTTTTTCTCCTCTGGGGCCTTAGGTGTGATGTTCCCATTATGTTAAGGGATGGGACATTGTGCAATTGTGTCATCGGTTCAGATGTGAAGCTAAAATATGAGCCGTGTATCATCATTCATGGCTCTTGTATCATGATGAAATTTATAGAGAATTTGCCTCTTTTTTTTTTTTTTTTGGTTATTCCTTGTCACATCAGAAGAATTTTGAACATCGGATCTACCCATATTACAGAACACCCTATCAATACCCTTGGCATCTTAGTTAACATCAAGTAGCTATTATATCATTTTTCAATTATATTTTTAAGGAACAAAGTCCAACAGTTTTTTCTCAATTTGATCCCACAATCCTATATTTTAATATGTATATAATCTATGAGAATCAAGGTATATACCAGCATCAAATTTAAATTAAAAAAATAAGAACATCAAAACAATGGGCTTTTGGCACAATATCGGATCTTCAACATTATTAAAGTACAATTTTCTATTACAGCTACAGTTCCCCCCCTTCACAAGTACAATGTTTATCTTCCCTGCAAAGTTTTTGTCCCCAACAAAATGGTTTCCAAAATGTTAACCAAAAAGAAAAAAGTGACATCATGGTGTGAAATTGAATCTCCTACAGGATATCTGAGTACGAAATTATAACCTTTCATGTATCAGACCAGACCAGACTTTTTATTTTCGACCAATCCAGGTAAGTAGATGCAAGAAGCTATAGCTTCCTGCTTGTTTGAATCCTCAAGATGGTAAGCACTAACATATATCCATCTAACATTAAAAGACAGCCAACAAAATCCATACTACTTTATGCCAAGTACTATGAAATTTTTAATATCTTCTTTGTAGGGGGTAGGCTGTATGAAACCAAATCTATCTGCATGAACCTGGTGTTGAGTCAGACTCTCTTCTATAGGTTCTTGTAGAAACTTCCTTAAGGCTTGGTTTGGATGGGGAGAAAAGAAGAAAATAGGGAGGAGAGAAAACTAGGAGGAAAATTTTCAAAAAATAGTAAATTTCTTTACTATTTTTAGGAGTTTCTTCGCATAATTTTATTTCCTTTCTGTTTCTCTCTCCATCCAAACAAAGGGTAAGTGTCACTAAAAATGTTCTTTGACAAAGGACAATACTTTCAGTGCTTTGTATCGGAAGGTTGATTGCTTGATGATGAAATGCAAACAGTAGAAGTAAACTATCTCATCATCCTTCTTCTCAGTGCTCCTTGTTTTCTTCACCAGAATTTTCATCTTCTGTTCCAAATGCAAGGGCACGTAAGTACTGAGCATTTGCTGGTCCAGTACTTTGAACCATCTTGTAAAATGCACTTCCTTCTTCTAGTAGGAGCTCCTGAGGGGTGTTGTATTCAAGAACCTGTAAGTTAAAGTAGACAAAGTATTGATGTGCAGTCATAACGTTGTCTTGAGAATACTAATTCATTAAACTGAGAAGACTTTTTACCTAAAAAAAAAAAGAAAATAAACTAATTTCCCAGATCAAGATCATATTTTGTGATAATATCAAACAAGGCTATTATTTTAGTTGCAACTTGTTATTTGTTTTTTCATAAAAATTCCAAATCAGATGATAGCTATAATTACAAAAACTCACCAGGTTACTAGAGCAATTTGTAAATTTTAGTTTTCAGTATTGGATGTTTGATTTGATATCAGATTCAGATGGCATCTTTTGTTACCACTTATTTTTTGACTTTCAGATGAAAATAAATAGTGAGATGCAACCAAAGTGATAGGGTCATACAATATTACCACCAAGGGTATCCTGATCCAATCTCTCACATTAACATGCCCTGTTTTCTACTAGCCATCAGCAAGAAGGAATTAAGAAAACAAACCTTGCCATTATCAATCACGAGAATCCGATTGCAGTCAATAATTGTATTTAGTCTGTGTGCAATAACAAGCATTGTGCAGGACTTAAATTCTTGGCGAATAGTTTTCTGTATAAGGGCATCGGTTCTAACATCAACTGCTGCGGTAGCTTCATCTAGAACAAGAATCTTCGACCTTCGTATCAAGGCCCTAGCTAGACTTAACAGTTGTCTCTGCCCAACACTGAAGTTTTCACCTTGCTCAGAAACCTTAAATTTAGTTCAAGAGATTACCATCAGGTTGGCATTTGCCTTGCTTCATAGGTTTAATAGAAAACTTCAGATAAATCTATGAATATAATTTAATTCAATTACCTAGTAAATCTAGTTACCTTTCACAAATACAAGTACCCTGTGACTCAGTTTAATTGAATTGAGATTGTGCTAAATAAATATAGAAAAACTTTTAATGGTATTGTATTTTATAAAGTGGGAAAAGGCTGGCTGCTGTTGTTGTTTGTATTATAGATTGTGAAAATTATCCCAATACAATAAATGGACTTGTAAATTTCTTTTGTGATAGAATGAAATTGGAAAGTTAAAATTTGAACAATGAAAGGATCTTAGTTGGAGGATTAGACTGTGAAGTTACTTTTGCGTTGCTTTCCAATTCTCCAATTAATTCGATACCATATCCCTTGTTTAATCATGTGCAGTAAATGTAGATGTTACTTAAATGATTGAAGAACTTAACTAGCATCAATATGATTTAATTATCCAGCTGTCACATGCAGTTCATCTACTATAAAAAAAGAACATGATTGAATAATTGGCATTGCAATTGAAATTAATCTAAGCACTTTGAATGAGTAAGTTCAAGCATAATCCCTGTACCTCAGAATCTAGACCAAAGGAATTTCTGCTAATCACACTTTTCAAATGTGATCTTTCTAGAGCCTCCCAGAGCTCAGCATCAGTGTGTTCCATAAAAGGATCAAGATTGAATCGAACAGTTCCTAGGAGGCAAAAAAGCACAGATATTTAGAAAAAAAGGGTAAAGTTCATATACAATGGGTGTTCAAAAATTAACATACTAGATTTTACATGTTCGTAAAACCTATGCTGTGTATGACCAACATATATCCATGTATTTATGACAATTGCCCCTCTTCATATAACATTTTTAAGGTATGTAAGCATCTTCTGGCTAGGATAGTTTGTAAATGCATACCATTCAAAGCTTGGTTCTAATTTATTAACAACTTAGTGAGTTCCATAATAATAGTACATTACTGTTTGATTTTATACTAAAAGAAAAGTCTTTGTAACAAGAAAAGGACAGATAAAAAGAATACTTTTACTGTTCCTTCCTAAAGTTATATCATCCAAAACTTCTCCGAACTAGAAGAGATGTCACAACACAAAACATGGAAGGCTATATATATCCATATCATTTCTAAAGATTTCAAAATCAGATGTTAAGAAGTTAGCTATCATTATTTCATTTTGTCTTTCCGTAGCTTCTTGTTGCACCATCACATGAGAGATTAATTAATAAAATGAAATATCTTTGATTTAATGAAAGGTTGAACTATGAGAACACTATATTTTCTATAGACTCCTTTGCATTCAAACATCTATAGCTAAAAGCTTGCATGGTAGGGACTAATAACTAAATCTAGCTAGTTCCAGTAGTGATCAACCACACCAAGGGACCCTTATTCTTCCTACAATCCCATGTTATAAGTATTAATGGAACGGTCGCAATAAATTCCAAAGGCATTTCTGAAGTCTATACACAGTGGAATATTGGTATTGTATAACCTCTTGAGAAGAAATCATCATTTTTGTCCTGAGATTTTATAATTAATCAATAAATCAATAAAATTTTATAAAAACAAGAGTCATCTTCTCTGAGTACTTTGAAGAGACATAGAATCGTATTTATGAGCATGATGATGCATACCAGAGAAAAGAACCGGTGATTGTGGTATGACAGTAAGAACTTTTCGTAAATCTTCAACTCCAAATTTAGAAATATCACAACCATCAATAATGATTTTTCCTTTTTGCAGTTCCACAATCCGGAATAATGCATTAAGCATGCTAGATTTTCCTGCACCCGTTCGTCCAACAATTCCTACCTTCTCAGTTGGAGAGACTCTAAAAGACAACCCATGTAAGACTGGAGGAAGTTCAGCCTGTAACGCAAGCCAACATCCTCAAATTCAATTGATCCTGATGATGGCCATCCAGGTGGTGGGCGGTTAGTCTCAATTATAGTTGAAGCCTCAGTTTCTAACTCGATGTATGTGTCAACACGCTCAACAGCATTTAAACTATTTTCTGCTCTACTAGCTTGTCTAAGGACACGGCTCAAGAGGTTTGTGATGTTTAAAGAATAACTGAGAAGTAGACCCATTGTAGATGCAAACATGGCTTGGTTTTGGGCTGCTGCATTCTGCATCACAGCAAATGTTGCAATGAACCAAATCATGAGGCCTCCTAATATTTCCAACCTTATGGTTAGCCACCGATTTGAACTAATATTCACCAAGGTGAATCTAATGTTATTGTCCATGAATCTTCCATTAATGTGTGCCATCCTATCATATGCTTTGTAAGCACGGATGCTTGCCAAACCATTCAATGCTTCTGCAAACTGTGCATAGACAGGAGATCTTGTGATTGAATCCAACCTCTTCACCTCTCGAGATGTGCTCTGTAAAGTATAGCATGAACTAGAAAAATTAAACCACAAATTATGATCACTGATGAAAATTTAAAGTAAACAACTAACGTGGGCTTGCTTTTTCTCTATGTCAAGTCCAAATGGCTTCTGCTCGAGGAGGTGCATGGAAAATTTCAATAAAACCATTCTTGGGCCTTCACTAAATTGCTCAAGACTTTGGGACGAAATGGTCCTTGACAATACCTAATACTAATTCGGTTACCCCACTAGAGACTGATGCTCCCAACCTTGCCTTTAGCCTGTTAAAAACTTTCGCATAGATTGCTCTGACATCAATGTTATCCCAACATGTATTTTACATATTATTTATTGATTTTCTTTTCATTTACATCTACAATAAATCCTGAATACCTCTATCTCTAATAGTACCCTAAAATTTTACAATAATCCGTAATGAAAATGCAGATTAAATAGAAACAACTTGTTAAGTTTATCATTTCTATAAATCAGAACACTCTCAAATCGATAGATGAAACAAGAGAAGTTCAAGGAAAAATATAGATTGATCCCAAAAAAAAAAAAGGAAAAAGGAAAAGAATAAAACACAAATGTGGAGTTATGAAACAAACCTGGTAATACAAATAAGCTGCATAAAACAAAATCAGAAGTGGCATTACGGCCCAGAGGGATAATGAGCTCACAGTGCCAATAAGAACAAAAGTTGAAAGGAGTTGCCAGAATTGACCCATAAACATATTCACAAAACTAGCAACATTGCGATCAATGTCTCCCAGGTCTCTTGCAAACCTATTAAGTATACGTCCAACAGGATTAGTATGAAAGAATACCATTGGAGCCCGAAGTATTTTACGTAACATGGCATCATGCAATCTTTTGGCAGCATGAAGACTTGAAAGGATCAGCCAATAAGAGTTTGCAAGAGTTACAGCTACCTGAAACCAACAAAGGAAATAACATTTCCATTACAAGATGTTGATGAAACAGGAGCTTAGAAAGTTATGGTCCAATGACAGTAAGATTTGTCGAAGAAAAGTGTTTTACATAAAAATTCTGGTCAATAGTGTGTGAGTTGAAAGGTGCTTAATGTAATGTCAAAGTTTTGTACTTGAAAGCATCATGAGAAGGTAAGAATATCAGACACCTGCCCAAATGAAAGAAGCGCATAGATTAAAATAAAATATCCTTGTTTATAGCCCGCTGCAGTACTTTTATTTGTCCACACACTTAACCATGTGCTACTTGAAATTCGAAGAATTTCTGTCATTACATAGCATGTGAAGAGTACTAAAACTGCCCAGAGTCCTCCCAGTGCAGACTTGTACCTATAATTTACACAAGATACGATGATGTAAAGCTGTGGTCACGATAGGGTAAAGTATTTGACTAAGCCCTTCATATGAAAACCATAAAAGCAACCAGGAGATTATTAAATCAAGAGTAATTAGCAGTTAATTTACTCCCACAACGATATTTCTGCCATTTCACAGAGGAATAATTCTGTTATTAGTGATTCTGACACATAGTGATCAAAATCATTTCATTTATTTATTTTTTTCAAACTACGACTCAAGAAAAATATAATAGAATTATCTTAGTTCCCTAAAGCTTACTCATACCTCGTCAAAACTTTCCAGCTAACAACCCCTGTTTCCCGCTCTTCTTCTTTAATAAGCATGGATTTCTGTAATTTGCCCTTCTTTTTATGGCTTGTACCATTTGGCATCTCTAAAATCACATTATTGGCTGCCGGTAGAAAAATAGACTTATCATAGGCATCTCTGTCATTCATATGATTTAGTCTTTCTTCCATTTTGCCCGCATTTTCCATTAGTTTCTGGAATAGTGGCCCACTTTTAGATAACTTCTCAAAGGTACCCTGCTCTTCGATTATGCCTTCCCTAATCAGAATGATATGATCCACCTGAGGGAGGAAATGAAGTTGGTTGGTGACAAGAACCCTGGTTTTTCCTTCCAGCCCTTCCTTTATACAGCTCTTGAAAACCTAAATGAAATGAGATCACAGTTAAACTGTGTTTGACCAGCATACCCAATATCTGACTTTAGGATGTCTTGAATGAAGTATGTTGCTGAGCACCAATCCCTTCCATTGTTTTCTTAATCATTGAAATAAAGTAAAGGGTTGCATTCCATAAGAAGTTAAAAATTATACCTCTCGAGCAACGTGACTATCAAGGGCACTTAAAGGGTCATCAAATATGTACACATCTGAATTTGAGTATACAGCTCTCGCCAAGGATACTCTTTGCTTTTGTCCACCACTGATATTGACTCCTCTTTCTCCAATCTCAGTAAAATCACGTCCCTGAAGAAATACATGAACGAGGAAGAGATAGCATTCTACATTTTACTTTTAAGAAGCAAAATTAGAGATATAATTACATATAAACTCTTACAGGAAGTAAGTCAATATCATGCTGCAATGCAGTGACATCAATGGCCTTCTGATACCGTTCATATTCAAACTTAGATCCAAATAGTATATTTTCACGAACCTGGGGAAAAAACACATGATTCAGGATTGAAACTGGTGACATAAAGGTACATTCATTAGGAGGAAAAAAAAGATATGAAATAAACTTTTTAAGAAGTTCAGGAAAGTTTAAATGAAATTGATAATTAAATAACAAAGGAGAACATAAGCAAGCTCCAACTGACAGTAGCATTAAGAATCCAAGAAATCTGAGGGACATAAGCAACAGTGCCTCTGATTATAACATTTGCATCAGTTATGGGAGGAAGCTCTCCAATCATGGCTGACACAAGTGATGTTTTCCCTTGTCCGGTACCACCAACTATTGCAACTAAGCTGCCATTCGGTATTTCAAAGTTTATATCTGATAACACAGGCTTCTCCATCTGCCAAATCCAATAGTTTCTCAGAAACAAATTGTCTTAAATGAAATATACCAAAATAATCAACATTGAATTTTGACGTGTCAAAATAAGAATATCATTTATGGTAAGAATCCCATTCATTTTAACCACAAACTGAATGTGTGGTCTCACAAGAAGTGCCGATCCTTATTCCAAAAGTGCTAGACTGGTTTTGGGGGAGGGAACAAGAGCAGTAGTATGGCTGATCAAAGTTCTATCCATTGTTTCATAATTTCAGAAGTACTGCATAGAAGTTTTACATGCATATATTTCTATTAGAGTCTGCTGATGGACAAAAAATGCCAGAATCTTTTGATAAGTAAAATGCATCATAAATTATTAAAGGCTATGCTGTCAAAAATCTATAAGAAAAAGGCCGCAATAGTTATTTTGTTGTCTTACAATTAGTTACTGCATTTTTCTTTAAGAATTAGCATATAGAATGACAAGGGCCCCAAGCCCCCAAGTAAGAGAAAAAGAATCCATGCTTTGCTGACTAAAAAACACCTTAATACAGGAAATTAAAAAAAAAAAAAAACTCTATCATTACCTTTTAACTTATACAACAAAAACATGGCATTTTAACTACTTACCCTTTACTCCCCCGTATTTAGAAGATTATTTATTCACAAAAGCATCAAAACAAACAAGAGAAATTTTAAAACAAATAATCACTGACCTTAGCAGTGGAAGTGCATTGTTTGATACAGAAATAAGCACAGTTGAAACACTGACCTTTGTATCCCATGAAAAGTATCCATTCTGGATGGATATGGCTGGAAGTCCTGGTAGAAGAGGTGGATTGGGTTTTAAAATTCGCTCCTCAGCTAAGAATAGTTCCTGTAAACGTTGAAATGACACATTTGCACTTACAACCTGCCAGAATACAGGATGAAGCAGAAAACTTCAGTCTTCCCCAATAGAAGGAATCATGTAAAGCAAAATATCCTCACACTGTAATTAATTCTTTTAACTATCTTCTCTGAGAAAGGAGTTTAGGGAATTATATTAAAATAGGCAGACTGAGATTGTAAAGTAAAATCCTAGAATTTACAAAGAATTCATTTTCGGCCAAAAGAACACATATATGTATTTGAGAAAACAAAAGGAATAAACAATTATTATTGGAACAACTTGTAGTACTTTTTACTACATTTTGGCTAATAATAGTATTAGTATTAGTATTACAATTAAATCCAGACAATAGATTAGCTGCACTTAATTTTTCACAGACTATAATAAATTGATAGAGTTTAAGACTTGTGCTTCTCAATGTCTTGTTCCATTCTTCTCATAGTATTAGAGCTGATCTCCTTCAGAAAAATTTGTAATTCCTACCTCCTACACTGGAGAACCTAAGGGCACTACTAGCACTGGCAGCATAACCCTTCCAGGTAACTGTGGCAGAGTGCATCTGCCTTAACAAACCAAAACCATTTTACTCACACTTGGATATTGGATTCAGGATCATTGAACTAAATTGACAAGCAAGCTACTGCTGTTTGAACAGTTTAGCAGCTACATATAAAACACCTATAAAAGTTAAAGTAGCAAATGGGTCACTTGTTAAGGTTAATGGTTTGGATACTGTTTGCATTTCTGATCATTCTGTTCTTGAGTGAGTCCTATGTGTTCCAAATTTTCTCGTAACATGCTCTCCATAACCAAATTTCTAATGCCAAGGAAGAAGATAGAAGAGAAAATGAAGCAAGGATAGAAATAGATAGACAGAGTTGAGAGGATGAAAGAAGAAACAGAATTCAAATTCTGATTATGCCAAAAGCTAACAACAAAACTAACAAGTTGTCTATATATAGCCATCAGTCTTAAGTCACTAACGACCCTAACTACTTACTTCTTTATTCATATATAATTACCATATCAAATTCTCAGAGAAACCCACTGTACTATGAATTTTACTAACAATAGATGTGTGCTTCAGGACTTGGAATCCAATAAGACAACAGGCAGTGCTAAAGCTGTGTAAAGGCTCCACATTTTAAACTTTCCTTTTTAAGTGTTTGTGGAATACCATGACTTTTGCTTCATTACCACTTCAGTTTCCAACCCATTAAATGGACTAATAGCTACCAATGTCAATATTTTCTTTCCTCATATTATGCTTTTTTAAATGCATGAGTCTTTATTTCCACATTTTAAGAATCCTTTTAATCCTTTTTTTAGGGTGTTTGGCATCTCTCTCTCTCTCTCTCTCTCTCTCTCTATGTGAATATATTCTAGTTGAACTTCTGCACCCTTTTTCCTTCGTTTATCAAGTAAAAAATTAGCAATATGCAAAATCTTGCTGTTACTTAAAATTTTTTACAACAGATCATAAACAAAAAAAAAAATATGAATTCCTGTGACAAGAGGCAATAACTAACCTGACTTAACAAACTGGGAAGCATATTTAAAGGAAAACGCAAAACTGCAAATAGAGATAAAGAGGTAAATGCCCTTGCAGGCGTCAACTCTCCACCAAGTAAAGTGAACATTCCAAATGTGGTTACAGTCACAAGAACTGGGATACTGTTCAGCATAAAAGTGTTAAGCTGCACCCAAAAAATTGAAGCGTTAAATCTCAGTCCAGATTTTGGCAACAAACGTGAATTTTCGGTCCTATATAAATTGTAGACAAGAATGTGACAGATTTCTGAATAAAAATTGAGTGCATGCATGTTCTCAGGATGTGAAAGTACTTCCTAAACCACTTAATCAAGTATCAAGGTAAGAGGTAATCAATATCTCAGTTAAAATCAATAGTCATACTCCAACTCATGAAGAGCAAGCCAACATTAACTGCACCCGGATGTGCAATGAAGTTGTGACATATTTTGTTTTAATAGTTTGAGCACTACACTGCAATTACCCCAGAATTTAAGTTTGTCAGTAGTTCAGAATTCAGAGTTCTCATTCATCAAACTGAATCATTTTGCATCAATATATAGTTTAGGTGTCTAACTAAACTGAAACTAATTGTGTAACATGAATGGTCCTGTGCCCAAGCCCATTATAAAGGCATACTATATACTAACAAAGTGCTCATAGGCACAAAACAGCACACTGGCCATGATGTGTAACAAAAGCAGATAATACTGACAATTACTGGAAATTGATCTACCAGCACAACATTATGATATATCTCTCGATTAATATTTGCTTGCGATTCTTATCAGGATGGAAAATGTATGTCAACCTGAATATCTACTAATTTGGTCGTACTATAGTGTCTTCTGTAATTTAATAATATATCTAATGCATGTGCTCTGCAGAACAATCCCAGTCTCTTGATTATGTCAAAACTCTTACAGCAGATAGAAGTTGTGCTCTGCGGAACCATAAAAGCTCATCATCTCGTATGCTTTGAACTCTAGACTGGAAGCTTGTCTCCCATGCATAACACCTAAATCAAGTCAATATAGTGTGAGAAAAACACTGTGGGGGAAAAAAATCAGTACCCCACATTATAGAGTACAATTGATTAAATTTATTCATACTTTACAGTGTCCATGGCAGTCAGAATTTCATTCATGAGGCCAACTCTCTTGTCTGTCTGCTGCTGTCCTTCCCTGATGAATTTTCGCATTTTGCTGAGAACAATCGTCTGTTTTCAAAAGCATTAAAAACTAATTGACATGCTAATAGGTGGAAAGCAAACGAAGGGATAGAGAACCAATTCTTTTCTAGAATATGAACTTGATAATTCAAATAAAGTTGCATTTGTTGTATTTAACACGATGACAGGTGTTTGTTTCATCGTGTAATGCACAAAATGAATTTGAAATTGACCAAGCAATTTGAATTATCTTTCTAATCACTAAATAATTAAATAATGAACAGTGCAAATTATGCAATAGAAGAAGTGAAAGTTATATTATATATTAAAAAAAGGACAATCAGCAATTCAATGATAGTTACATTATATATTAAAAAAAGGACCTTCATTTTAATCCCCCCCCCGGGGGTGTTTTGATGTCATAACAGACATAAACAATAGAGTTCTTAGATTGAGTTCAATTTAGATTGGACTATGATTACAACAGCAAGAATGATTAAATATAATGTTCACACGTGTGATAACAAACAGGGGAAGAACTTGCCTGCATTGGGATCATGAGAACTAGCATCAGTAATCCAATAAGTGAAGCAACACCTAATTGCTGGTATAGAAGAGCCATAGCCATTATGATACGGAATGGTGATGACCATAGTCCATGAAGTTGCTGGCATATTTGCTGAACATGGAAACTATATATTAGAGAGGACATTTATACCAAGAGAATATTGTCTTGAATATGAAGCATTATAATTATTGTTAAGTATTTGCAAAAAAAGAGGATGTGTGCAGATTTATAAGACAATCAAGAAGGTATCATGATTATTATGAGTATAATGAGTTTTAGGGATAGGCTTATGTTTTAGATACTGACTAAATAATTCAGTACCTCACAAACCTGATGGAACTCTCTAAATTTCTGTTTTATTTATGTATGATAAGGCTGAACAGCCTCTATTACAGTGAACAAAAGAGAGGAAAATTCAGGAAACTACAGCAAAAGCACAATTTTCTGGGAAAATAAAGGAAAATGAAGAAAGGTCAAACTTCCCTTGTAATTCAAGATTCAAAAAACTCCTCTCAGTCCAGACTTGCCTTCCAAAACACTACATGATTCCTAAAAATCAAGAGCCCCCATAACCCCTTTTCTGTGTTAAATAGAACCTGACACCCTTGTTGCTTCTTTCATAAATTCTTTTGGGATGTGTTTTACTGAGCCCAACAAAACCTTTCTCTTTACAATGACAAAGTATAAATTGAATTGTATAAATTAATGAGTATCATTGGCCCATTTTGTCCATCAACTCCACCTTACAAAGTTTAAAAACAATCGATAACAGATAACTCAATATCATGAATGACTCCACCCCACTCTCACAACCCAACATCATTTATTAAAATCAATAACAATTTATCATTGAAAAAGGTCAATAACAATTGAAGTATTCTGGGATTGGAAAAAGGTCATCTTTAGTAAACCAATCTTTGTTCCAAAGCATATCATTGCATGTAAGACTTGATATGTTGAGACTTTTAGTTGATTCAATCAACTACGCCTATTCAATCAAAGACACAATTTACCTGTAGAGCACTGGCATCTGTTGTCATCATATTCATAATCTTCCCAGAGGAAAACTTGCTACGATCCTCATGCATTAATCTCAAGGACTTGTAAAATATACCTGCCACCTATTATCAGGGATGGTTACATCATATAAATTGCATGACAAGAAATAAAACGTCTTTACAAAAAAAAAAAAAATTTATGTAGGAACTTCAAAATTGGAAAAGTTGGATGGGTGGACATAGTGAATTGAAAGAGATTGCGTACCAAAGTTGACCTTAGCTGGAAACCAACACGCATAACGCTTTGAAAATACTGAGCCTCACAAAGTACACCAAATGACTGAGAATTTAAATCATAGTCAGTTTTTCTTCATCTGCTATTGGATGCTTTCAAAATTACAAACTGCTTCTAATACAAGAAACAAACTATACTTTTGAGAGTAGAGATATAAACATGTCTGCTCAATAATTATCAATACAAAGGTTTAGATATGATAATGCCAAATATTTTTTCAATCAACCTTTATCCAATTTTTTTGATAGTGATGGACTTATGCATGAAACATCTTGTGCTAATACTTCCCAACAAAATGGGATAGCTAAGAAGAGAAATAGTCATCTTCTTAATGTTACAAGGGCCTTATTGTTTCAAACTAATGTGCCCAAACATTATTGGCGAGAAGCTATCCTAACTGCAACACATATGATTAATAGACTTCCAACTCTAGTCCTTAGATCAAAAAGTCCTATGGAAGTCCTCACTCACTTTTTTCCTAATTTTAATGCATCAAATGGTCTTATACCTAGAATCTTTGTGTGTTGCTTTTGTTTATGTGTATTCTCAACAAAGGACCAAACTTGATCCTAGAGCTCTTAAATGTGTGTTTGTAGGGCATTCCTCTACTTAAAAGGATACATATGCTATTATCAAGGTAATGATCAAGGTAGAATCTTCTTAATGATGATCAAGGTAATGATCTTTTCCTTAATGAACTTCCTAGTTCCTCTCCTAGTGAGTCTTTCAAAGCACCATCAACTCTTGAATCTACTCGTCCACTACAAGTCTTCATTTGAGAGAATAAGAGAACATCTCAGTCTACACAAATTCAATCATCTAAACTAGCTCCTGCTGCTCAAACTTCAGATCTCATGCCTGAAAATTGTGAGGTAACTCCTAATTCTCTTGAAAACATTGAAATTACTTCAAATTCTCTTGATGTTTCTGACAATGAAGATGTTCCTAGGGGTAACTTTGAAATGCTTGATTTTAATCTACCTATTTCTTTGAGAAAAGGAACTCATAGTTTTCTCAAATGGTCTGTATATCCTTTGTCTTTATTTCTTTCCTATAACAAATTGTCTTGTGGTCACAAACCCTTTTTGACTAGCCTTCATCCCATTTCAATACCAAAACCTTGTCCATGGCAGTAACAGCTGAAAATTAGGTTAAGGCAATGAAAGTTGAGATGGAAGCATTTGAGAACAATGATACACGGGATCTTGTTCAATTACAAGAACGAAAAAAGATTGTTGGGTGTAAATGGGCCTTTACTCCCAAATACAACTTTGATGGCTGATTAGATAAGTATAAAACTTAGCTTGTTGCCAAAGGATATGCTCATACTTATGGGGTTGATTATGAAAAAGCTTTTCCCCAGTTGCAAAAATCAATACTTTTCGTATTATATCATCTCTCACTACTATTCATGATTGGGAATTATTGCAGTTTGATGTGAAGAATGCTTTCTTACATGGTGATTCAAAAGAAGAAATCTATATAGAGGTTCCAATTGGATTTGTTTCACATCTTCCTCTTCGTACAGTTTGCAAGCTTAAGAAGGCACTTTATGGATTAAAACAATTACCAAGGGAATGGTTTAGAAGGTTCTCAAAAGCTATGATCACCATGGGGTTCAAACACAGTCAAGGTGATCATATTTTGTTTATCAAACATTTTGCTTAAGGTAGAGTGACAGTTTTACTTGTTTGTGTTAATGATATTATAGTAACAGGAAATGATGTGTAAGGGATTCTACTTCTGCAAAGTCAACTGATAAAAGAATTCCAAATGAAGGATTTAGAAAGATTAAAATATTTTTTGAGTATTGAAGTTGCTCATTCTTGGGTATTTTTGGGTACTGTAAACTTAAATTATGAAGGAGGACATTAAAGTCAAAAGTTTTCCGCTTGAGTAGGTGTAAAACAAAATATTTGCATTATAATTTTAATAAGAGGTCAGCTAGTAGTAATTTGGAAGTAAAATTGGGAAATCAGACTATACCTCAAGTGGAAAAATTTAGATATTTGAGATCTATTATTTAACATGATAGGGAAATTGTTAGGGACATTGCACACAAGATACAAGCTAGATGATTTAATTTGAAAAAGGCTAAAAGAATTATTTACAATTATAAGGTACCTAATAAATTTAAAGAGAAGTTTTATCAAACTGTTATAAGACCAACAATGTTATATGGTAATTGTAACATCCTCAATTTTTAATCCAGATTAATTAAGTTTAAATAGATTAGTGAAGTGAATCTTTGAGCTGTGTGGCCAGAGAGGCGTAACGGGCGTGCTTGATCTCGATTTCAGTACCACTGCGGGTCTGAAGGAGAATCGGGTCACCCGGGGGTAGAAGAGGAAGAATTTTTAAAGGTAGTTGTTTTATGCCACGCGCCACGGCGTGGGGTTGGTCCGCCACAGCGCATGCATGCCAACACGCCTGGAAGAAGCTCTCTATGCCATGCGCAGTGGCATATTGTGCGTCCAGTGCGGCGTATGGCCAGAATTTTGCAATATTAAGTCATGAATCTCAAGTGAAAATGGAGAGAAAACAAAAGAGAACAAAGGAGTAGCAAAAAAGCTGAGCTAGGGTTTGAAGAAATTGATTGTTGGGAGTAATTCGGAGCTCATAAACACCCAAGTTAAACTTCCTAGCTTAAATCTTCCTCTCTTCTTCCATTTTCTTGATGGTAGAGGTGAGGGTTTGATTTCTAATGGTGATTTTCGATCCATAGAGGTTATAGGTCTAAACTCATTGACTTAAATAGAGTTAATGGGGGTAGATTAAGCTAAGTAAACTTGATATTTATGATCTTATGATAATTGGTGGTTAGAGGACATTAAATGTCTGAAATTCCCATAAATTTAGTGGTTAGGAATAATGTGGCTTCATTAATGTCCATTTAAGAGCTTAATGTTATAAATGAGAGTTAAAGGAAGCTAAGAAACCTTATGGGTACTTCTAAACGAGTTTAGAGTAAAGATTGAGTATTAAGAAATGATGAAAATGCTAGTGAAAAAAATAGCTCAAAATAGATATTAATGTTTTACATGGTAAATGCTTGTAGTATAATTACTATTAGCACCATTCAAGCTTCTTGAAAGCTTCGGGAAAGAATAGTTGAGGGGTGAAACCTTTGACCTCTCAAAGGTTTGAGATAACCGGGGAATTCTATCTTATACTTGTGTGTCTATTAATTTATTGATTTATGAATTATCATTTGAAATGTGTAAAATAAAAGAAATGCAAGTGTGGCTTAATTCGTGAAGAAATCCACTAGATCAATTTGTGATTGTTATGCCTTATGATGAAAAACTTCTTGAGAATAATAGTGGTGGATTTTCGTATCAATGTTCATTGGAAGTGCAATAATTTCTATAAATTGAGAAGCAAAATGAATCTTTGTTTAAGGAGTTCAATGATCTTTGAAAATAGAGAAGTTGAATGATTTTAAAAGTGTGAGGTACAATGAAAATAGGAAAGTTCAATGATTTTGAATGTGTGAGGTACAATGATTGTGAATTGGTAGTTCAACAACTTGTTTAGTTTTAAAGTTCTATGAAATGTGATAATGTGAAATTTTATGAATTGTGTACGTGTAAATTATCGCATGAATGTCCATTGCATGATCTAGAAAGGCGGGAGTTCGCCTAAGAAGCGGAGTCGATGATAAATCCACGTGGTAAGACCCCATCCGTGTGATAGATTGCCTAGATTGATTCTATCCATATCGTCCCACTTATTCAACAAGGGACTGTCCCGCTAATTCAACGAGGGACTGTCCCACTGGTTCAATGAGAGACTCGAACCTAGCTAGCTATCCACCGGTTCAATGAGGAAGCTAGTCTAGGGTATATGACACCCCATGGTATGAGAAATGAGGGAGACCGTGATCCATAAGTGAGTTGAGTATACCTTGGTCAGGTAATCCCCTCACAAGTGTTTAGGCTAGGGAAGTCAAGGAATATAGACTATCCCATTAAGTTATAACCCACGGTTTCATGTCAAAGGAATAAGGAGGATACAAGGGAGGTGTGATTATGCATATAGTGAGAAAAAGCACTTGTTGTCTATATTGAGTTCATAATATGGATATGTTGAGTTGAGTAATAATTTTTGCCATTAGGCTTGTCAATGATTTATGTGAGCAATTCCATTTATATGAAAGATGCTAAAGGCATTGTTTTTCCAAGTGAATGCCATTATGTTAGCTAAGTTGTGAATTATTATTTCAAATGTTCTCAAAGGTTAAAGTAATAATATTTACTGCTACTTGCATTTAAACTAATTGTTATGCATTAGTATGGGCTAGTCGGACTTTGGTAACTGAGTAGTTATACTCACCCTGTTATTTTCAATATTTCAGGGAATAGCTCAAAAAGTGTGGACAGAGGAAAACAACCCGAGGCTTAGGATCACAATCCATTTACAATAGACCTCTTTATTTTGGGTAATTTATGTGTATGACAATTTCGATTGCCAATTAGGATTTCCCTTGTTGTTACTTACTTGCATTAAGTGAAAGGTAAATTGTAATGGTATTTTAGGGAGAGAGTTGATTATTATGTGTTATATTGATAAAGTTAAAATACTAATGTAAGTAAGGGTAGTGCATATTATGTGATGATTTGAAAAATCTTGATGAAAATTGTGGTAAATTTCCCCTTCTATGATTTTGAGTTAAGGGGTTGAGTAGTAAAAATTTGATTTGAAAATATTTCTTGTGTTTTGGTGCTTTGTACGAGTTAATTTTATTGAGTTGTATGTGGTCATTTGGTGTCGGTGGCCATTGGTTCTTGATTTTGGGTTAGGACACTTGAAATTTGTGAAAGTTGAGATAAAGGTGTAAGTTTTGAAAAGAGTATCCAATTCTTGTTTTAAAAATAATTTCAACCTAAGACCAATGCCATAAGTTAGAGCCCGGAAAGAGCTTTCCATAGACTCCTAGTTCACGTTATTTGGATGTCGGACAGAGATTTGGTGCGAGTCAGAAGTTGGCCCTAAAGCTGTTAAATTGACAGCAAAACTCACTGTCAAAGTTTGTGCTTTGCGCCGCAGCGCATGGTGTCACGAGCCGTGGCGCGTGTCACAGAGGTGAACACGCCGCGGCGCATGTTCAACGAGCCATAGCGCACGCCTTTTAATTTTTTTCAAAATTTTCCTTGCTCCAAATTTTTGCACCTATGTAACCACTTGTGTGATAATCCCTTACTTCCGCGTATTTGCGAACTTTGTTTTACCTTTTTGCAAGACTTGATTTGACTTTAGATTTATAATCTTGGGGACCCCCTTTTGTTACCCAAAGAGAATTTTGTATTTAATCATTATTATTATCTCATTTTCCTAATTACTTGGAATTTGGGTTTTAATTGTGGGATAAAAGGAGGAGGATATTACAGTAGTAAATGTTGGGCTTTAACAGGACAGCAAAAGCATAAAGTTGGAATAGCAGAGAGGAGAATGTTGAGATTGATGTGTGGACATACACATAAAGATAAAATCTAAAATGAGCACATACAAGAAAAAATAGGCATAGCACCTATTGAAGGAAAAATGGTAGAAAATCATTTGAGATGATTTAAATATGTACAAAAAAAAAATTGCAGGAGGCACCCATGAGGAGAGTAAAACAAATAACTTTAAACCCTATTAAGAAAAATAAAGGAAGACCAAAGAAAATACTTTTGAAAGTTGTTGACTGAAATATCTTAGTTAATAACATTTCTAAAAGTTTGATAGATGATAGAGTACAATAACATTGTACAATCCATATAGCCTACCCCATCTAATAGGATAAGGCTGCTTGTTGTATTAAGGTTGCTCATTCAAAGCATGGTATCTTCATATCCCAATAGAAGTATGTTCTTTATCTTCTTATTGAAACAAGAAAGCTGGGGTGCAAACCTATAGACATTCCAATTGAACAAAATCATAGACTTTGTAAGGAAGGAAAGCATCCTAACAAACAAAAGCAAAATAAAAAACCTAGCAAACCTCCTCCTCCAGAGCCTCCTGTTAATAAGAAATCTTACTAAAAGCTTGTCAGGAAATCGATCTATCTAGCTTATACAAGACCTGACATTGCCTATGCAATGAGTGTGGTGAGCTAGTTTATGCATGATCCTAAAGAGTCTCATCTACAAGCAATTTATCAAATACTTGAAGGGTGATCCAAGAAAAGGCATTCTGTTCAAGAGGGAAAGACAATTGACCATTGAAGCATACACTGATGTAGATCATGGAGAAGATATGGATGATAGAATATCTACATCACGCTATTTGATAGGATATAGAATTAATTAGATTTAAGATTTTTATTTTATTACAATGATCTTAGGATTTGATTTGAATAAATATAATCTTTTATATTACTATGTTATCTTTTAAATTATTTTAGAATATTTGCATTTAAATATTAGGATTTATAAAATATTATGCATTTAATACTTTTATTTCTATAGTTAGTTTAATGCCTGTAAATAATGCCCTAACGTGCACGCACATTTGATTGAATAAGAATTACTGTTATCTCGCCTCTCTTCTGAGTTTCTCTCCTCTCTATATTATATCTACTCCCTAACTCTTGTTTCTATATTCTCTTCCCCATTCTCTTTTGCCGTTCTGCATCAATTGGCATCAGATCCTAATTTCCACCCCACTTCTGCTATCAAACTCTCTCCAAATGATCTTCCTAAAATCATATCCCTGTCACTACCAGAAGCTAAATCACCCATATCCACCAATCAAATCTTCTATCCACCATCTTTGTTGTGTCCCGCCTCCAAACACTGTTTATCTATCAAAGATCATTACTAAGCATTGCTACACGTGCCATTACATGCTGATAATGGAATTTCCTATTTACATCTTGCTTCCCTAGAGCCATCATCAATTTTACTCTTCAGAGGAGAGTTCCTTCAAACGGGGGAGAAATGATGGGATATAGAATTAATTAGATTTAAGATTTTTATTTTATTACAATGATCATAGGATTTGATTTGAATAAATATAATCTTTTAGATTACTATGTTATCTTTTAAATTATTTTAGAATATTTGCATTTAAATATTAGGATTTATAAAATATTTTGCTTTTAACACTTTTATTTCTAAGGTTTGGTTAAGGCCTGTACATAACGCTTTAACATATTTGCTCTGTACGCACATTTAATTGAATAAGAATTACTATTATTTTCCCTCTCCTGAGTTTTTCTCTTCTCTCTATATTACCTCTAGTCCCTTTTTCTCTTTTCTATATTCTCTTCCCCATTCTCCTTCCCCGTTCTGCATCACTACTATACGTTTCTTGGCTCAAATCTCATTATTTGGGGAAGCAAAAAACAAGATGTGGAATCTAGATCTAGTGTTGAGGTTGAGTTTAGAGCTATGGCACTTAGAATCTATGAATTATTATGGATAAAAATAATTTTATCAGATTTGTAGATCAAATGGGAAGGTCTAATGAGGCTCTACTCAACAAGTCCGCTATCAACATTGCTCATAATCCAATACAACATGATAGGACAAAGCATATTGAAATTAATTAACACTTTGTCAAAGAGAAGTTGGAAAGTGGTCTAATTTGTACTCCGACATTCCTTCTAGTGATCAATTGGCAGATTTACTCACAAAAGGATTGTAGGGTGAACATTTCATAGATTAGTGTTCTACCTAGGAATGGATAATATCCACTCTCTAGCTTGAACGGGACTGTTGAAATATGTAAATATTATTTTTTATTCTTTTAGTGGGTATTAGTTGGTGGTTAGAGGTTGTATGTATTACTTGATAGTTGGTAGTTAAAGGTTGTATAAGTATTTATTACTCTGTGTAGTGATACTCTTATAAAAACCCCTGTAAGCCTTTGTAATTAGGATGGTAAAAAAAAAAAAAACAAAACAAAACAAAGCCCTTGTAATTAGTTGAATAAATATTAGAGACATTTTCTCCCACTTTATTTGTCACTTATCATCAACGTCAATGATGCAAGAAGGTTCTGTTGTTCAAGAAAATGGTGGATCTTGCTCTGTGGTTATCTCTCTCCTTCTCTCGCTTAACTAAATTCCATAGCACTCTCTTCATGCGCTGATCAACTTTTTCTCTTCAAGTCTATCAAGTTTTTCTTTCCTATTTTCTATAGAGATATATGGCATTTTGCAAAGCTAGCAAAGCAAGAAATTTAAGTAAAGGAAGCACCCACGAGGCTTAAATAGTGTAGGACAGTGTACATACCACTCCTACAAATATGGAGAACGCATAAATGTAACCAATCCAAGATGGATCTCCTCGTTGCATCGACTGCATAAGAGTTTCAAACTATCTTGATACATTTTACAAACCCTAGAGCATAGGGTAAGTATAAAGCTAAAATGATAGACTTTAACAATAAAACTATCATTTTGAAATGAGGAAAATTTGATAATTAAAAGCATTGTTAATTCTATGTCAGCCAGTTGGGAAGCAAATGAATATCATCATATTCTCAGTTAAGAGATAAGTTGGATAATTTGGGTGGCTGCACATTAACATAGCCCTAATTGTTCAAAATATATGGAGTCAGAACTGTGGTTGATTCTAATCTAATGCAGATAGTACATGACCAAGAGCTAAAGGCGATTCTTTCTGTTTTAGACATTGATAAACAAGATCTTCATAGTATTTGATAGAGATCTAAGTAAGCATGGGGAATCACCATGATAGACCCACTTATAAGGAGAAAGAACGATGTTACTTAAGTATCTCTACAATTATTGTTGTTACTTGTTATCCAACATGAGACTCCATCAATATTCAAAAATGGCTATCTTGACTAGGTCTCAGATGAGTAGAAATTGTATTAATTTTCAAGATGAAAAATACTTTAGAAATTGGAGATTTGAAGAAATTTCAACTCTTTTTAACAAGCTAAGCTGCACTTGGTATGAAGATTTTCTTGCATTATTGAGCTTCATAGAATATCTTTTGACCTTCAGTTTATCTGTTTGGCAGGATTCCTTACCCACACCCACATCCTAATTCATCTTTTCCTTGTACAATTTTTTCTTCTATCTAAAAAGACACGTGTGCAGTAATATGGTGAGCCAGACAAGCAATAATATTTTTCTTTGCCCTTTCATTTTTTTTATAAGGTGATTTTTTTTCCCTTTCCTTCTATTGTTTTCACATGATATATCCTAGTTTTCCCCCCAAAAAAAAAAATCCTAGTTTAGTGTTGTAAAAAATGAATAAATCCTAGTTTAGATTATGCAAAATAGGCTTCCTAGCTGATGCGTTTCTGATACTTCTTGGTTTTTGTCTTTTCTTTTTATTTCCCTAGTAACAACATATCAACTTTATTTAAGAAAAGTTACCTGTTGCTAAGTTTTCTTGGTGAAAAAAAAAAATAGTGAAAGTCAAATTCATGGAGGCCAAGAAAAATAACTCTTAGAATACACGGCCCAAAAAAAGGATGAACTAATGAGTAAGCCAAGGGACTTAGGATTATCAGACATCTCTTCACTTCCTTTTTTTCTTGAGAGAAAATGAATACAAGACTGTTTGAGGAACAAATTCAACGTTTATCTCTCATCACAGTTTTTGTTCATCACGGAGTAATGGTATGCTTTCCAAGTATATATAGTAAAGTGAATTTCCAAACACAACAATTCACTTGTTTGACTCATCTTAGTGCATGTTTGAATACATCAAATAATCAATTTTAAGGATTAAACCATGTTTTTGTGATAATATATCGAAACATCTCTGTTATATGCCAAAATCAATTATGACCCAAAATCATGATTTATAAAATAGAATTTACATGATTTTTTATATATTTTTATGAAAGTATAATTGAAAAGTAGGTAATAATAGTTTATGAGAGAATTATAGTTTTGGGTTGATAATTAATTTTAGCATATATATGGGTGTTTGGATATTTTTTAAAAAACTATGGTTGCGGATTCATAATTAATTTTGATATGTGTAATGAGTGTTTGGATATTGTTAAAAAAAAATCATGGTTTTGAGTTCATAATTGATTTTGACATGTAACATGGTGTTTGAATATATTTTCACAAAACTATAGTTTTACCTTAATTTCAATTTTGCTTTTCAATTCTGGTTAGAATCAATCTTATTAATTAATTTTATAAATCTTATATACCACATAACATAGAATTCGTTTGTTTAAGATTAAAAATAAGTGATTTTTAGATAGTTTAGAGATTTCATAAAAAGATATTTATTTTGTAGATATTTTATAAAAAGAAAGTATTATTTAATGTTTACTTACAGTAATAAAGAGTAATTATTAGTTAGTTATTTTTAAATTTTATCATATCTTCTTTGATTTTTTTTTATAAAAATGATTTATTGTTTAATTATTTTAATATTTTATAATATCCTCACATATCCCACTTTTTTAAAACATTTTCTCTCATCTACTATATTAGATTCTTAAAATAATCAAAAATCTTTTTTTTTTTAGAATTTGATTATTTTCAAGAGTTTAAAGAAATATCATTAAAATTTACAAAATATTTTTTAAAAAAAAGTAAATGATTTTTTCATAAAATAAGCTAAAACAAATGGGCTCATAATTAATTATATTAAAAATCAATCATATTAATCAATTTTTTTCATAATCTAAGTTTTCTGATGGATATACAAATGTACCTTGTCTATTTCATGAGTGTGTTTGCATTTGTAGACTAATTTTATCATCATCAAGAGATTGGACAGCTCTTATGCACACTAATAGGCCTTTAGTTTCTAATATTCTTCAAGATTATATCCTTTCCAATAAATTTCTTCTTCTGTCCTTAAAAAGATAACAACAGTTCACTTTGGTCATGCAGAGAAAGAAACTTACTGTTAATAGATGATTCAGCAAAATAGGCCCCACAAACTGAGAAAGATCATAACAAATCTGCAAGAAATTATCACTGATAAGATTCTAAGGAGTCAGCAAAGGCAAAAGTACAATGTTATTGCATGGTTTTGTATTTCATTGCAGACGCAGGATATATAAGATATGAAGGAAGTTGTCCAGAATAAACCGAATGCAAACAACATTGAGATTACTGACTGCTATAAAGCTCCTATACAATTGAAATGCCAAAACCCACAAAAAGGGTATAGAGTATTGGAAAGTCATAAAAAATTAAAGATGGCTTGACAAACCTGAATTTCTTTCCAGCTCACGTTCTCTCAATAATGAGGAAATTAGGATCTTTGCTTCTGACACTTCTATGGAGTACTAAATTTAACCCAAAATAAAGTAGCTATTAAATGGTTTCACTTATAAATACTAAATTATTAATATTATAAAAGAATGACTTGTAAAATGTAAGAAGTTTGAGTCATAAATCTTGAAGATTTACTCATAAACCTATAATGTTTGACTTGTATATATTAAAATATAAATATTTCAATTTAAAAAAATTTCAAAAAAAAATTGATCACTCAACGGTTGCTGGCCACTGATCAACGGCAGCCGATGATCGGTCAACGCCTACTGATGTTCTGTCAATGTCAATCAAAGGAGGGGTGAGTTTAAGGGCATTTGGGTCTTTTTACAAGGAAAGTAATTACAACCAAGTCTCATAGAACTTAGGAGTATTTTCACAAATTTAGTTATTTGTTAATAATTTCCTTAAGCAGGATTTATATGTAATTTTCCCTATAAAAAATAATACTAATGATGTTCAGTCATAGAAATAGCTAGCAACAAAAACACATCTACTTATAAGTAATTACACAGTACTAAAACAACTAAAAATGATTTAAATGAAAGTTGAAATGCCCACCTTAAATGCACCTCCCCACCAAAACCTACATGAAAATTCAAGTGAAATCAGATGACCTAAGAGTAGAGGAAACTTTTCCAATAATAAATATATCTTGAACAGAACAAGGACAGATCAAACATTTAGACAGGGTAGAACATCACAATAAAATAGCTGATAGGTACCTTTTTCCAAGACTATTATTCAATGCTCTTAAAAGCCAAGGGTTAGACCTTTGACGTTCTAATATCCAGCACTTCCGGAACCTACAGAAAAGGAAAATACCATGCATGATAGAAACAGGAAGAACAAATTTCACATGAATTGATACAAGGACAAAAAGGGAGAAAAGTGTCCAAACTTTTCAAAAAGTGTGTCTGTATGATCCCATGTGTCCAAATTCCAAACATCATTTTCAGTGATGGGTTTTCTATAGCCTTGTTGCATGAGTGGAGTCATCCAACCAAAAGATAATCCTACAGATAGTGAGGAAAGAAAAACAGAGAGAGAAGGCAGATCAAGCTCTCATGACAAAAAACTGTAGTTATAAAAAGTACTGCTGCTGCAAAACATATTCATTACTTAGCTGTTTCGTTCTTTTTCTATTTTCACTCTCTCAATGATCAAGTAAAATGCAAGGAAGAAAAAAATAATAATAATAATGCTCAACTAACTAACTAAATTGTTCAGGTTTTCAACAATAGAATTTTCAATCATAAAACATGACTTTCAATTTCTAAACAATATAATTAATTGCAAACCTGAGAATTGTAGATGATCTTTCCTTTCACAAGTGTTGAAAATCTCAGTTAACAAAAAGAAATTAGAAAAATCTCATGTTCAAGCATCACATACTGGAGAATACATTAACATGTCTCTCGGGGCAGACTTCTTGTTCTCCACAAAGTGGTTCATGCTCAGCATTCTCATGAAAATCTTCTTGTACTGTTACATAGCCAGCATAAGGAACTAAATTTGGAATGTAAACAAGAAGGACAATTCCAAATAGCACCTACATCAAAAAAGTATCCACAAATAGGCTATCGTTACGTTCATAAATAACTCAACAATACAGCATACTTCCCACTTGTTTTGTGGTGACTTAACTAAACCACTATCACCCCATTTTACATAAGCTTACAAGAATCTTAGATTCTTAAACTATACCTTCCAGGCTCAGAGCCTGAAACGCAAGAATAAGATTTGATATAGCTACCATGCTAGCTTTAGTGCCATACTTGATTCATCAGCCTATTAATTGTTTCATGCATTACACGAACAGATTGATATTTTTCAATAAACCTGTCAAAGTGGAACTCCTAAAGTGTCATCAGTTCATTATTGTCTAGTCATTGTTTGTATCGCTCAAGGAGTTAATTGCTGTCTAAATCATAGAATTTATTGCTCTATTTTAGGAGTCTCACAAACATCTTTCATAATTACCTTTAGGAGTTTACCTAGAACTTTAATCTCTAATTTTAGAATAATATAAATAAGACACGAGAGAAGCTGCTAATTTGCAAATGTGCATGCAAGCCATTCTCATTCATTATATGTAGGTCTGTATCCAATATTTCACAACATGTATTTGTTTAAAATTATTATCGAAAAGTTAAGCTAATATTGGCCCTCCAAAAGTGCCTATATTAGCAGCCAAAGCCACAGTTTCCGTATCAAAGATTAAAAGACAATATAGAAAGATATTTTAATTATAATTTAAGTCTTTACTTTCTTGTTATAAAGGTACATACTATAAGCTGAAATGCTTCGAGATTTTAAACGGTTCCAAAGCCAAAGCGGGCAATCATTACAAGCAAGTTTCTGCTTATATATATATATATATATATATTTATAAAGTATCTAACACTAGTTACCAGCTTCAATCAGGAGTTCATCTGTTATCACTGCAGTGAGGACAATGAAGCAAGATACAAGTATGATGCAGCGTATTTAATACTTCAATTCAACACAATGAGGAGAAATCGAAAAAGACCTGACAGAACATAGTGCTGATGAACAGATACAGGGCAGATCTGCAAAAATAATATCAAAGAATAAATATGACATCTATGCCGCACCATGATTCAACCTTTTCTTCAATGACTATGTTGATCATCCAAAATGGAATGAATTTCAAATTTGCATCGTTGAATACATTTAAAGATTTTTTTTTTTTAACAAAAACATCACATATACCAAATAAACTTGTCACAATCATACTGATTATGGAAATGGATCGAAACTCCTGTTAGAAAGGAAGGAACACACTATTGGAGGAAAATACATTCTATTGTAAAGATTAATATAGAAAGATTAAGAGGGAAGGGGAAAAAGAGACTTAAGCCCGTAATAATGTTGCATTCCTGAATAATACAGAGCATGTTCTGATTTTTTAACAAAAGAAAAGATCGCCTCAGTAGGATGCTATGTGATTAGTGAGTTCATTGATAGAAAAGAATATATTCAAAAGATCACCTCAGTAAGATCACTCCAGTAATGCTGTCCAGGTTTATTCGAAAAACCAAAAAACAAGAAACAAAAGAAAAGAGTATATTCCAGCACCTATCAATACTGTAAGATACCTTTTCTCCTGTTGTTTAGAATAATAACTTGACCTTGACCAACTTACCAAAACACACCTAAAAGTCAGAAATCTTTTAACAAATAACTTGATAATACTAATATGTGTTCATATTCTAAAACAAGATTCACTATTGGGTATGTCCAAGGAGCGTTTCCATGCATGGTCTCAAATTTATAGGCCTGTTTGGCAACTTGTTCGGAGAACGGTTTTCTGTTTTGCAGAACAAAAAAAAAATGTGTTTGGTTTCAAAAAGTGCTTTAGAGAGCAAAAAAATAAAATACTATTCTGAAGAATAGAAAAACAAAAACATCTTTTAGATGTTTTGGGATTATTGTTCTGGAAAATATGAGAGAATAAGAAAAACACCAATTTTCATTATTTTTTTCTTCTCAAAACATGTTCTATATCTCTTATTCATAGTTTGACATCTTTCCTTTACATAGCCTTGCACATCTGGAGAAACTCCTATAGAAAACTATTGTCAGACAAAAGTAGCAGATAAAAAGATGTAAGCTAAAGCAACACTGACACTCAGTTATATTTTAATATGCCAACATAGCTGAGCTTTCTTTTCGTAAGTATACATATCATGGCATCTCTGATCTGTCAATCACATTGAATCACATATATCAAACTGTGAAAAAACATATAAGCAATAAAAGCATAAAAATCCAGTTTCTGCACACAAAATAACAATTGCGAGAGCTAAAAGAAAATAATGAAGAGATATAGTTGGCCCTAAAGTAAAATACTTACAGAAAACCAACCTGCTATAATAATTTATCACTGACAGAAGAAGATTAGCCATTACAAGATCTGCCACCAAAACATAAAAGACTCCAAACCTCACGAACCACCGAAATTGCTTTATATAAACCTTAGTTTCCATGACAATAAGAATTAACATTGAGGACCAAGTAAGTGCTTCAATGATCAGACCTGTTATCTGGAAGAGCACAGAAACTTAAGTGTTACTTAAAAGTCCACTTTGCTCATATATCAAATTTGTTATTCAACTATACATGATGAACTAAAGCCATCAACTATCAGTTTAGCTAAACACATTGGAGAAAACGCACACCAACCTCAAAAGGAGCAAAACCAGAATCTCCATTCAAGTTGAAATCAGAAATGCCATATATCAATCTCAGTAAAGGTTGAGCAGCACAGTAACCAGCCAACAATCCCAGAAAATAATTATAGTAATTTGAGCGCAGACAAAACCTATGAGCTTTGGCATTGCTAATAGTCATCCATATTCGATATAAACAAAGGCCGGTAAGAACCAAATTGGAGACAGAGATCACAAGAGTGTTCATTGCACATGGTGTATAGGACCCAAAAGCACTATCTACTAGATTAGCCCAAATGATGTTCTTCTCTGGCTGGCAGTACCAAATCAATGGCTCAAAAGCCATCTTTCTCTCCAATGATGTATGTTCAAATAGAACTGTTTTTTTTTTCCAGCTTGGTTACTGCAACATGAAACGGCACAATCTTCAAATGAGAAATAGTAGTGAAAACATATGAAGCAATTGAAATTGGAAACTGAAACTATGAAAGTGTAATTCCCACATAATTTTTCTTCACACACAAAAGCCCGGATTTTATTACCCTCCAACATTGCAGGAAAACCCAGTAGTGATTTGCCTTTCAAAATTAAAACTTATTAACGTACAAGAAAACTAACCAGTAGCAGAAGAGAGACAATAAGAAGAACACAGAGACTGAGCAGCTAGAGAAATTAGAAAGCACTTGATGATTGAACCATTGAGTCGCTTTTGGCAAGACAAATGTAGAAGAGTCCACTCCACTCGTTCATGCATGAGAGTGAGACAGTGGTACCATCTATTCTCGTGAGCCGTGATTCGGCGATTTAAGCAAAAACAGACACCAAGTCACCAACCATGGGAAAAGTACGACAAAAGACAGGCCAATATGAAAACGTCACGGCTGACGTAATCTACCCCATGATTTAATTTAAGGGTTAATTAGTGATTTTTGTCCTCAAGCGTAAAAAAGTCACAAATGATTATAAAATGCGTTAGGGTCGGTTTCCTCCGTTTCACATTTAGAAAGTAAAATTTTACTTTCAGAAAGTTAAAAGTTGTTTGGATAGAATATTTTACAGAAAAGCACATCCTGAAAATACATTCAAACAGTAGCTGAAAGTGGATTTCTGAAACGTAACTATTTGAAGCTTTTGAAAAGTGGATTTGAAAAGTAAGATGTTATTTGACCATACTACCTTAAGTTTAATATCTTATTTTTTTATTTAAAAAATAGTTAATTCATTAAAAATATAATTATTATTTTAATAATAATAATTAGGTATCAATTTTTTTAGTATTATAAATTGAGCAATTAATCATATTAATTTTTAGCATTAATGTATAATAAAAATTACAAATCTTTATTACATCTTTTAAAATTACAAATTAAAAAATACAAATAATTAGAGATCAAATTTTCAGCATTATAGATCAAAATTTATGTTATTTATAATCTTTATCACATTTTTTAAATATTTTGAATATATTACATTTGTATAATAAAAATTATAAATCATTATAAATCAATATCCTTTTTGGTAATTGTACATTCAAAAGCACATTTCACTATCACAAACCAAAAAACTTTCAATGTATCAAATTGACTTTTGAAAAAATATATCCAAACACAAATTTCGTTACAACATCTGACTTTCATTAAACTGACTTTCATCAAATGAACTTTCATCAAATGAACTTTTGGCAAATTGAAAACCAAATGCACACTTAGTTTTGACCTTAAATTTTAAAAATTCATTTCCTCATCAACTTGTCCCATATTATATTTTTTATTATTTTTTATTATGAAATATTTAAGTAGACAGCATCCACTTATCTTTTAAATAAAAGTTAAAAAGTAAAAATAACTTTTAATCGAATAAAAAATATTATAAAAATTGTGAGACCTATTATAACTAACAAACATTAACTCTCAATTTGGATGGGAAAAAAAGTTGAGGGAAAAGAAAATGAGAAAAAAGAAAATAGAGAGAAGAGAAAACTAAAAAAAAATGTTATCACTTATTATATTTGGATGAACAGGAGAAAATAGAGAAGAAAGAAAATGAATAAATATCATAATGACTATAATACCCTTATATCAATATATATCATATTAAATGTAATTATTTTTGAAAAAATAAATTGAAAGAATAAATTATATTAAAATTAACATCATCAAATTAGTTGTTAAAAAAATGTAGAAAGCTAAAGATGCAAATTCTGTTTCTATTTCTTAAAATCAAATTAATTATATTAAAATCAACATCATCAAATCAAATTATATTAAAATTAGTTGTTAAAATTAAATTAGTTCTTGAAAGCTAAAGACACAAATTTTTATGAAGATCAAAATTTGATTGTTTGTAAGGAATTAATGTGGTTGAAGCGAGCAAAAGAAGAAAAGAGAGGGGAGGGTAGGTAATGGAAGTAAGAGTTTATTCTCAAAATCTCTCCACTTTTAGGGAGAAAAGTTGGGAGGAAAATGTTGTAGGTTTCACACTTCATTTTCTTCCCAACTTTTCTTTCCTCTCACTTTTTTTCCTCCATCCAAATGAGGGAAAATGCATTTTCTCTCTTGTTTTTCTTCCATATTTTCTTTTCTCCCATATTTTCTCTCCAACCAAACAGAGTATAAGTATTTTTAATGTCAAGTAATGACAAAATGAATCTTTAAAATTGAGGAATAAAATTGACATATAGTTAAATTTAATGTCATTTGTGACCTTTCATATTAGATTCAAGAAATGACCCTTAATCTTTAATTTAATATATCAGGAAAACAAAAAAATTATGAGTACCATAGTTGAAAATTGCCCTTGCTAATTAGCTTCGGCCTCCAAAAATTAAATCCAAGAGATGTACAAGTCATTTGCGTTCTTCAAAATAGTGTTAAAATCTTGATTTTTATAAAAACGTTCACTTTCCTTCCGTTCACATGGAACAAAAGTTGAGAGCAAAAAAATAACAAGAAGAAGAAAAGAAAAGGAAAAAAAAGAAAATAGAGAAAAAAAATAGGAAAGAAAATACTATTAGAGCTATATTACAATATATTTGGATTATGGTGTTGGGAGTTAACTACTTCCTTCATCTCTATATATAAAACATTTTTAATCAAATAACACGAATTAATAAAAATTAGTTATCTAATTAAAAATACAATAATATTTCAAAAAAAATTTAATTATTATAAATATATGAATCTCTTTTTTTTAAAATAAATTAATAAGACTACTTATATTTTTCCTTTCCAATTTAATAAAGATATAATTGTTCATTCATAAAAAATATACTAACAACCTCTTATATTTAAAGACGTAAAAAGATTTTAAAAAACTTCTTACATATAAGGGGACGGAGGAAGTAGCTTGCTTGGGGTTCGTGTAGGTTTACTTGCTATGTTTAAAAATATAAGGTAATTTTAATCAAATCTCAACTTCAATAAAGTAGGTAATTATCTTTAAATTAATATATATTTTTGTATTTATCTTATTTAATAAAGTATTTCACTTTAAAATAAATATAAAATAATTTATTTATTATGAATATTTTTTTTAAAATACATTAATTATATTTTAAAATATTAAAAACATTTTGTGTTTTTTTAATATTTAACTCCTGTTTCCTTAGTTAATACACACATTACTCGTTGTGGCCTCCACTCTCCAGCGAAGCGATCAGGAAGGTAGTTGAAGGTGTCCATTTTTCTTTTCCCCCTTTTTTTTTTTTTTTTGATATATGTCCATTTCCCATTTTCACTTTTTCTTTTCCCCAGCCGGCGGTCATTGGCCCTATCAAACTTGGGAAAAAATTACAAGTGGTGTGTGGGGCTTTTAAAAATATACCCTATTTGTCTCAGTGGTTTTGTTTGTTTGTTTTTTCGTTTTTGGAAAATTTGTCTCTGGGGTTTCGAACTCATTGAACTCAAAGATTTGAGTTCAAAAACATATTTGAACATTTTATGTTTCATTTAAATACAATATATTTTAATTTAAATTTATTATATTTAAATTTTAATTATTTTTATAAAAATACCATTTTAATTTTTCTTTTATAATATTGTAAAAAATTAAAGTCAAATTAAATATTCCCTCCATCCCAAATTATAAGACACTTTTAAATAAAATCTCATGTATCAATAAAATTTATTAAATATACTTTACAATCTTACTTTTTCATGATAAAAATATAAACTTTGAAAAATACCCTTCATTTAATAATCCATTGATAAAAGAATATTGAAGAGAGAGAATATATGGGAGAGATAATATTAAAAATATATCATTAATAAAACCTTCTATTAAAGTATTATATATTTTGAAATGTTAAATCTTTTCTAAAAGTATTTTATAATTTCAGATATATAGAGGAATAAATATGTCTAATAAAAAAGACACCTAAAGTTTTAAAAGCATACAAAGAAGACAAAAGACCAAAAAAGAAAGAGACTCTTTGCTTGCCCAGTGGAAAAAAGGAGACTCTGAGATTGAACGCTGAATAGAGCAAGCTTGAGAAAGTAGGTTAAAGGAAGAGGAGAAACAAGTCCCAAATTTCTACCTTTCCATTGTCATGCATTCACTAATTCATACGTGGCTGCAGAATACGAAATGGTAAGGGGCATTCTTTTTTCCCATTGTCATTTTGGCTCAGCATTTTGTATTCTATTTTTTCATTGTCAATTTGCCATTTTGTCTTCTAAATTATATTTCAATTATATCTCAATTACCATTATATTTCGATTGCCATTTTGTTCATGTGAGGTTTTGGAGACTGGAAAATATATATGTGATGATGATAGACTTCTCTTTAGGGACGGGCCTACTCATTAGCTTATGAGAGCAACAAGACTAGAAAAATTGTACAAAATGACTCAGAAAAATTTCAATGCCCCTCAAAAAAATTTCAATTCCCCCCCTCAAAAGAAAAAATTCACTTATCTCCCTAAAAATTTATTTAACTCAAACCTAATTTATATGTTATAATCTCAAATATTGATAGTTTTAGAATGGAGAGAATAATAATTCAAAAAATAAATTTCTTTGTTTTAAATAAAAAAATTAATCTACTGAAGATAAACAAATTTTACTTGGACTGTTTTATTTAATACATCATTATATCTTCATGTACTATGCCTTATTCTTTAGCAATTGACTTTAACAAATTTTTAATTTGAATGTAATTTAATAAATATTTAAAATGATATTTTTTAAAAAAATCATATTTATCTTGGGCAAAAATTTTGCCCCCACTATTCAATTTTTCTAAGTACGTCACTGCTTCTCTTGAACTAGTTTTGGAGACTAAAAAACAGACTTGCAATGACGATAGGCTTCTCTTGAACCACACAAAGAATTGAGTTACAGTTACAAACTTTGGATGGAGTTTCACAATAGATACACCAGAGAGAGGGAGAGATGGAAGAGGAAAAACTAGAAGAAAGCCTTTTTCAAATAGCATGTGTTTTTCTCTTCTAAGTATTCAACACATATAGCACGTTAGTTTTAGTTGGCAGTTACCAAAGCAGCTCCCTCTTGAAACCATGTAACCACTAGCCCTTGCTTATTTAACAAAATAAATAATTAACCCAATTCTAAATTAAGTATTAGTCTGGACTTAGGTAACTCTTTTTATGGTCCACTTTGTCAACGGTAGGCCATGTTCCAACATTTCTTATTCACACTTAATGAATTCTTTCTCTTATTCATGCTAGGCACTCTATCGTATCAGAGTAGACACGAGCCTTCCTTGGAGTATTATCATACTAGAAATCCTTTACAAACCTGT